CCTTCTCATTAGGTGGCCAAAGTAGTTGAGTTTCATCTTCAGTATCTGGCCTGCTAAAGAGCAGTCAGGGTTGATCTCCTCCAGGACTGACCGGTTTGATCGCCTTGCAGTCCAAGGGACTCGCAGGAGTCTCCTCCAGCACCACAATTCAAAGGCCTCAATTCTTCAGGACTCAGCCTTCCTTATGGTCCAGCTCATACACTGCAACTGGGAAAACCATAGCCTTGACTATACACACTTTTATAGGCAGGGTGAGGTCTCTGCTTTTTAGGTGCGCATTATTCTGAGGGGCATAGTTCTTATACAGCAGGGCTTTAATATGCTGTAAATTTCAGGATGACTGGGCTAGATAAAGCTATTACTGTTCTAGAACCAAAGGACAAAGCAGAGAAAAATAGCCAGGGTCAGTGATGAAAGTAACCGCAAAATTGGTGTTTTGTGTTTAAATGCAAGGAAAGACACCATCGGATTGCATAGAAAATAAAAAGTTTAAATATTTCCATAACTTTAATTAATAGGAATAGCCATCCCTTTTCATCCCACCCCATTCCCTAATCCTTCAGGTGCTTTGGTTTATAATTTTCATCATCCTTAGTCAATATAGCCAGTGGCGAGGGATGATGGGATTTGTAAGCTAAAATATCTTGGGGGGGGGGGCATAAGCTGTTCCACCCTGATATAAATGGTAGTGCCATTCATAGGCACAATATTTTGCATAATTAAGAACAATCAGTATCTGCAACCGCTCTCTCTCTCTCTCTGCTCATGTACTGCCTTTCAGTCCTAATATTATTCTTCCTGTATGCTAGTTTACTTCTAAAATGGACCTTAAATGTGATAAGTGGAATTAAATATTCCAGTGGGAAGTATTCCCTTAGGTATATTTTTTGAAATAGACTCCTAATACTGGTAACCAGAAACCAATGTGCAGCTGTTCCATTTTCTTCTCCTTAACACATTTTCCATGTTAAAGTAAAAGATGGAAGAATCAGTGGCTAAATACGGCAGGGTTGCACATGGAGTTGACATCATCTGGACCCCCGTGAATACTCTGGCTCCGTGCCTCTGCGAGAAGTTGCCATTAGGGGAGTCACCATTCTTTGTTATTGCAGGCTTTTAGGAAGGCCTTGAAAACATAATAGCTTGCTTTGGCCTTTTCCTGATCTGATTACTGTTGTTACTGGTTTTGTTGTTTGCTGTTTTTATTTTGTTCTCACTGCTGCATAGTGCTTTTATTATTTTCAATATCGTAGATTTTACATATAGTGATATCATATGCTGCCTTTGGAGGGCCTCTTTCCTGGAAGGTAGCCAATAAGTATTTGAAATTATAATTAGTCATGATAAACACCTCCCCTGGAAATGCCAGAAGCAGCACTAGGGTAGAATGCTAGATTCTATGCATACATGCACATTCAGAAGAAATGTGAATGTATACATACGTGCACATTCAGAAGAATGGCAGAAGTGCCGTTCCCACCCCACCTCTTCCCCATGCAGAAAGCTTTCAGGAGGAACCGGGCCTTCTGCATAAATAGGGTTTGATGCAAACAGGATTATTTTCCTGTGGAGGAATCAAGCACCAGAACTGTTAGAGCGGAGAGCCTGGATAACACTGCACCATTATAACATACATCTAACTGAATATATACCTCAGGGCACTTACAATGAATCTATTTCAGGGCTCATGTTTTTTACTGTATACACTTTAGATAAGTAGTTGCTTTGGTTTCAAGTTCTGTGCTTACTCGGCAGCTATTTACATGGTTCAGCAGCAAGGGCTCTTTCACTAAACTTGAATGGGTTTAGCGGAACAATATGGAGACTCTACACAAGCCATTGGATGCTTTTTAGCTAAGTGCCATTTTCTTCTTTAACAGCAGCATCCATCATTATTTTGAGCCTAGTTTTATCTCTTAACAAAAAAGCTTCTTAGAAATCATAATCTTCTTCTGAAGCATGTGGAGTATCACAGCACCACTAGAAAACCACGCTGTCATCAGTATGAATGTAGAAAAATAGAAACAGTGGGATTTCCAGGAGCCATGAATAACTAAGAAGAATAGTTGGGGGATTTATTTTTGGTCTTCCTAACAGATATTGTAGCTTGTAGGGTTGTCCTTCTGGTAAATGGGCCAATCAGCAATTTCCAGTGGTTCAGCAAGGTATTGTAAGAAACAGCAACTGTCAAAAATACTGGGGCAGGCAGCTTGTAGACCACAGTATCTGGAGGGCAACAACTCTCGTCGTCTGTCATCTTTGATCAAGTTGGCTGGGGCTGATGGGAGTGGTAGACCAAAACTTCTGGTAGGCCAGAGGTTGCCTATCCCCAGTGCAAAAAACCTTTTAGAAACTTCTATTTTATGTTACTATATGAAACAATTTATATTGTCTGGGCTTCTGCATTTTTAAATCTGCGTGTTTAATGTTATGTTTAATAACAGGTCTTTTTAATGTTGCATTTGGTTTTATGGTTATATGTTTTATTTTTTGTTTATATTGCTTTATCTTTGTTTACTATATGTTGCCTAGAGAACTTTGTTATAATATAAGGTGGTAAGCAAATGTCAACAATTTTAAAAAATGGTGATCAAAAAACTTGCCAGTTTAAGATCAGAGCTGAGACTCAAACTCTGCAGAGGTTAGAAATTGGAAGCTAAGGCTGATGTTCAGCAGTAGGTTGTGTAATGTCACAAACTCTTTGCTTACAAAGTCCCTTCCCTGCACCCACAATTATTCTTGCCCTTTCAGGCCCAAATCTATTTGGGGAGGATGGAGTGCTGGGGACCAGAAAAGATGCTGCATGTTTTCCTGGTTTTCTATTGCCGTATGAAGCATCTGAGCTTTACTGTTTTGCAAGAGGAATTCTCCTGGGGATTGACTGGTGCTTGTTTCTTGCTTATATGAAGCTCTGTTTGTGACGTCTGATTACTGATTATGGGACGTGTTTGTTAAGGTGTCAGCTTAAGCTTCCAATTTGCTTGCTTTGTGGAGCTTGAGCCAACATAAATTAGCCTTCAGCTTGTAAGTTTTTCAGTCACTGAATTTCCCTGCTTTTTAAAAAGGGCATTTATAATTATAGTGCGTTAACAAAACAAAACACAAGCCATCTACTGAGCAGATTTGTACAAATAGATGCATCTCTATAGACTCAGAATAGCTTAATGCTGTGTAATCCTGCAAAGGATTCCAGCATAGTTTGTCCTGCCTTTTTCATCAGTGATTGGTCAATTAGTGAGAGTGATTCCTTCAGCTTCAAATATTATCCCATCCTTATCATGCTATCCCTTCCTCACTGTCAGATGCTGACAGAAACAGTGGACTTCAAAAGAACATTCTGGCTTCAGAATAAAGCTAAGCATGCCCAGCATAAGTTTGCCAGCTGTTACAACTCACCACTATAAGCTCCACAGGATTTCAAGGGGCAGAAAAACCATGATCATTCTAAAGTGCTGCTCAGAATTCTGCTTAATGCAGCCCTTCTACAAGGCTAAATGTTTCCATTAGTAGTTTCCTTCAGAATGTGAAAGAAATCTATATGCTGCACTGCAGCTTGAATAAAAAAAATACATGTGTCATTTTCAGACCTCATTAAATAGCTTCTAGATGTGAAGTGTCAAGTTATTAACTCAGTGGGTGAATCTGTGCCCGTTTAAAAGTAAATATGCCTGTGAGAGGAAAAGTAGCCAGTTTGTGTATTTGAACATTTCTGAAAACCTTCATAAGAAATCACTGAAAAACTGCTGAGAAGACTAATGCTTTCTGATGTGGGTGAGACTTTCTTTTGTGGGTTTTACCCATAATTCTGTTTTGTTTCTGCATTAATCTATGATTTCAAAAAACACTCAAATAGCTACTTAAACATGTATGCTAGTCATACTTCAATGTGCCTTTTCTTCCCAAAGTATTACTTAAATGGTGTTTTGACATATTTAAACAGCCTTGAATATTCAGAAAACTGCAGAATCCTATAGTGAAGTTCAGATCTGTGTGTTCATTCGAGAACTGTAGATTAAGTCACTTTGTATAGGATTTTGCAAAGATCAAATTCCTGAATCATCCCTAACTTTTAACTGTTGAAAACATTTCTGAAATATGCGTATCTTCTGGCTCATCCCCTTACCCTTTTCCTGAGGCAAGGACCCTCCAGTCATCACTGCTGCTTCACTTGCAATAAATTTCTGCTTTAGATTGGCCCTCCTCACAGTGAAAATTCTCTGTCCTGTTCTTATTGGCTTTCCAAACACCATATTTCTCCTAATACCAGAATCTGTAGTGTTAAATATCAGTGAAAAATCATGGCCCAATCTGAGACTTCTTCATGTGACTTTTTCCTATTCTCAGCTAGTGGTTATTGTCCCTGGTGGTGTGAACTGGGTCTGATTCTTTGGTGTAGATATATGTCAGAACCCAACAGACCTGCTCTAGGGCTTTTCAGCTCACTCTTTCCAAATGCAGCCCTTTGTACCTCATAAAGGCTCCTACTGAATATTGGGAGAGCCTGAAGCATGGCTTTGGAGCACTCAAGGCATTCAAAACAAGAGAAGTGCATTGTGTATGCACATGAGCCTCTTTGAGGTTTGTCTATAATATTTCTCCTGACTAAGAAATCATCTTTCATCTTTGATGACAATTTCTGGTAGATATACCTCGGGTAACTATACTCATTAATAACCTGTGAGCATAATTACTGCAATAAAAATTCAAGGAAAGATTATTTGTTGCCAATCACATATAAAGGATAACTAATTCTGTATTTGCATATGGCTCAGGTGTTGAAATCACTGTAGTAGAGGGACATTGTTGGTAATAAAGCTATTCTTCATTGCTGTTCAGTCTGTTAATGGAATAGTAAATGAGAGTTCAGTGCTAAAGGACTGCTTAAGATCTGCGCTCTGCCTTTATGCAATAGGATAAAATTTTTCTTCTGTGGTAGTTGAAATGTACTGTATATTTTACTCTGAAGCTTTAACTGTGGTGGCTCTTGTATATCTTTACAGGTTGCATGAATTAAAGACTGGAGAGCTGGATGTGCATCTCATGCACGCAGTGAGTCATGGCAACCGATGATAAAGTAGCCATTTTAACTGATGATGAAGAGGAGCAAAAGAGGAAATATGTGCTTGCCGATCCCTTCAATGGAATTTCCAAGGAACAAGACCTTCAGGCCCGAAGTGACACACCTTCCACAGAGACTACCACTACCATTCCAGATGAGGAGCTAGACTGGCTCGAAAGGCACTGTGTCAAAGTGAACAATGATCTTCTGGTCTCAAAAGTCTTTTATTTCTTTTTTTATGCTGCTTATGGTTCCCTCTACCCACTGTTGCCCGTGTATTATAAACAGCTGGGCATGACCCCTAGTCAAAGTGGGCTCCTGGTGGGAATTAGGTACTTCATTGAGTTCTGCAGTGCTCCTTTCTGGGGAGTGGTCGCAGATCGCTTTAAGAAGGGAAAAGTTGTCCTCCTCTTCTCACTTTTGTGTTGGGTGTTGTTTAATTTGGGAATCGGGTTTGTTAAACCAGCTACCTTAAGATGTGTACCAAAGTTCCCAGTGCCAGCACATCCTACCAATGCCAGCCACCTTTCAACAGCAACTCCACAAAATATTTCCATGTCTTCTGCACTGCCTTCAGTCAGAACCACTTTACCAGAGGGCCGAGGGAAAAGAGACCTGCCCACTGACAGCTTGCCAACTTGGAGCTCGGTGCTGCCTGTGCATTCTGAAACCATGTTCTCTCTGCCGACTCCGAATGGAGAAGAGAAGCCTGCTTTGACAGAAGAAGCGGGCACAGTTCCTGCCTTCCCAAATATTGTTACCCTGAAACTATCCGGAAATGCAACAGCATTGCCTGCCGTCACCACAAAGGTGGCACTCTCTGATCAGGTCACTCTTGTCTATGATCATCAAGAGGTAGAAGCCATTTTCCTGCTCATCCTTTTGGTTGTTATTATCGGGGAATTTTTCAGTGCCTCGTCAGTGACTATTGTGGACACTGTGACTCTGCAGTACCTTGGCAAGCACCGGGACCGATACGGCCTGCAGCGAATGTGGGGATCCCTGGGCTGGGGAGTGGCCATGCTGTCCGTGGGAATTGGCATCGACTCTACCCGTATCGATGTGCTCATTGAAGGCCAAGGCTGCAAAGCTCCAGAGTACAAGAACTACAGGATTGTTTTCATAGTCTTTGGGGTGCTGATGACCCTGTCTTTGATTGTGGCAACCCAGTTCCGATTCCATTACAATCACTATAAGCAGGAGGACAACCAGAACAAAGATGCAGATATCTCTCAGGTGGATCGAAGCTCCACCACAGACTCCTCCAATGAGACCCATAGCAGCACGAGCCAGCTGCAGTCCTTTCATTTTTGGGACTTGATAAAGTTGCTGTGCAGCATCCAGTATGGCTCTGTACTGTTCGTAGCCTGGTTCATGGGATTTGGATATGGCTTTGTGTTCACCTTCCTTTATTGGCACCTGGAGGATCTGAATGGCACCACCACGCTTTTTGGAGTCTGTTCCGTCCTGAGTCACGTGTCTGAGCTGACAGCGTATTTCTTCAGCCACAAGTTGATTGAGCTGATTGGCCATATCAGGTAAGCGCATGGTGTGTAACAGTGTTTGAATACCTGTAGTCAGTCCCCACCAAGAAACACATATTAGTGTAAACAAATAACATGAACTCTGAACAGAATAGTACACTGAACAAATAGCATACAGAAAATGGTTAGGCCTCAAATTGTGCTGGGCCAAATCCTGAAGTAAGAAGTGGATTGGACTCAATGGACTTATAGGCCTTTCCAACTCTACTATGAATTAGGAAATCCATGGTCTGAATCTCTCTTTTTTCATGAACTCATTTGTTATGCTGCTCTGTTTAAGCCTCAAGATCCTATGAAAAATATGGAGGGTTGGGGGTGATGCTGGTGCTATAAGGAGTACGATTAGAAAATGCAGCTCAGGAACTTTGGACATGTGGAATATATACACATTGAGGTTATTAAGTATTACAAATTAGGTATTTTTCAAATTATAATATTTAAGGAGGCCTGCACTATTCATTGTCTTTCTTACATTTTCAAATAAACATTTTGAACTGTTGATGGTTTCTACCTCCAGTCCCCATAAGGTTTGGCACCTGTCACTATGAAAATATATAGCTGTCTATGATCACTTTCTATGTAAATGCGTCACTTTGAAGCCAGTTCAGGAAAAGATAAATGAACAGAAAATTATTTGGGGATAGCTGTTAGCTGGCATAAATAGGGAAAATGAGCCCTATTTACAAATGCTTTGACCTGGACTACATGGAAGACACATACCAGCCTTTCCCAGCCAAATGGCCTCCAGATATTTTGGGTGACAACTCCCAGGATTCCTGATGATTGGCTGTACTGGCTGCAACAGATGGAAGCTGAAGTTCAAAACATCTAAAGGGCACCAAACTGGGGTAAGCTGTTGCGGACAGTGACTACTCCTTGAGAGAGAGGCTTGAAGTAGATGAGCAGGAGTGCCTAAGGCTGCACCTTTGTATCTGCTCACCTGAGAGTAAGTCCAATTGAAGTCAGTGGGACTTACTCCTGAGTAGGCCTGTTTAGGAGTATGCTGCAGCATGTGAGCACTTGCTGGCACAATTTACTCTTTCAGTGCTTGGATACTAACAGCTCCTAGAATCAAACTGGGTTGCCAGTGATTGACCATGGAAGATGCTCTTTTAATAGCTGTCATGGGGAAAGTATTTGCCTGGCACAATGCTACAACACTGAGTGATGCCACGTCCACTCAGCATCTCTCGTCCACTCAACGTCTCTCTGTCGTGAGCTGTCAAAGAAATAAGAACACCTTCTAAGAGAAGGTGCTGAATTTCTTACAAATACCTCTTGAATGCATACCTGTATTTGAAAGAATGCAACTGTCAAAAAGTCATCCGTCTTTTGAGGTTCATTAACCTTTTTTAAAAAAATCTTTGGTATAAAATGGGGTAAATGTCCTCTGAACAGCTCAAATTTTCCCAATGCCATGCGAAAGATGCTTATGAACTTAGGCTTTCTTCCTTCAGTTATTTTATACACACTGTTTGGCTACCAAGAAAGGAATACAGTTAAGGACAGATTAAAATAGAAGTCCCCTGCCCGGGAAAAATTAATGTGTAGAAGTGAAACTGCAATATCTATATAGATTATCATGTCTGGTATTGCCATATGTGAATTTTGCTGCATGCACATTTTGTGAAAGTGGCAAAGTACATTTGTGTGATATTATCACATGCACCAAATAATTTATTTATCACATTTTGTTACTGTCCAGAACTGAAGCCCCCTGGGTAGTTTATAAAAATAAAACCATAACATGTTATTGTTTTTATGGTTTTATGATTTATAAAGCACGTGTGGGTTGTACAGTTAATTTTACAGTTAGTATTCTTTATATATAAGACTACTAAAGCAATTGCAGTGCATACTGTTAAAAGTGTCTAATGGTAAGAAAGTGTTATAAGATCTAAAAATATGCTTTTTCCAGATATCCAACTCAAATAACAAGCTTTAAAAATATCTAAGAGCAATATTGGTAGCATTATTGCTACCCCCTGGTTCATCTTACCACCCTGTCATTTTTTAGGGAATGGGCCTATAAGCCTTAGATGTTGTTTGAGAAGTCTTAGGGTAGTTCAGATTGAGTTTTCTGGCCTCGGAGTTGGGAAGCAGAGCGCTGATCCTGCTTCCTTACCCCGCATAGAGAGTATCATGCCAACTGCTCTCTGAAAGCAACCTTGGAGAGGGTTAAACAGGGCATTTTGAGAGGCAGGGAGGTATTCTGAAGCGGCTCCCACCTTCCCCTTCCTCTTTTGAAGTGGCCGTCTAACAAAAATGTAGAGAGGGATTGGTTGAGTGCTGCTCCTGCTCTGCATTGGGGAAGCATTCTGGGCTTCCCATCTTCATAGAACTGGACCCTGACAGTATTACCTTATTACCACAACTGGATTTATGCCTGGGCTTCCTCAGAGTCTTACTAACTATTCTGATTGTTTAAGTTAGCAGCTGCATAATACACAATAATCTTATGGTCTGGGTGTGTTTAACAGCTGAGGAGGTGATTGATGGAGGTAAGCCACCAGGAAGTAATTTAGAGAGGCTGTTTATACTTTGCCAAAGAAAAGATGAATGAGGACACAGACTTGTGTAACATTTGGATATACTAATGTATATGTGTAGATGCCAATTTAGAAATAATTAGTAAAATTTAAATAGAAAAAACTTGGTATTAATTTCTACAATGCATTTTATGCTACCATAGTTTGTTTGCAGTTTTATGCACCTGTACCTTATGCCACAGTGAAGACTTTGCCTAGTGAATCATGAATTTGCTGTCCAGAATCTAACTCTTGATTGGAAATTTCATGCATCCTTCAAGGTTCTCCCTTTTGATGGTTCTTTATCTTTAAATCAGACTTCAGCTGCATGGCCCTTCAAACAGAGGTTCCCTTCAGATACGCTTCTGTGACAGCCCTCCAAATAAAGGAAGGGAAGACACGTAGCCTCTCCATGACTGTGTGGTCACTCCTGACAGATCCCAGCCAAATGGTGGAGTTGCAGCTTGCCCCATGCTGCTTTGGGAAAGAAGTTCAGAAATGATGCAGAGCCACCTGGTTTGCATTTGAGGTTCAATCCCAGGCATGTCCTGGTGGGGCCAGGGGATACTCCTGTCTAAAGCCGTGGCAAATCTCTGCCAGTTAGTACTGATGTAGGTGAATCGGTGGTCTAATCTGATGTATGCCACCTTCCCTAGGGAAGTTGGCCAGCCCAGCTTCATGCTTCAGCCAGAGCAGCGAAGATTGCACTCCCCCCTCTGACGGCAAGCCAAGAGGCACAGCACAGAAGGCCAGTCAGATTATCTTGGCACCCAAAGCAAAACATTTCACATGTGCCTGTCTCCTTCCCTGACAGTACAAATGCAATAATAAATGAAGTTGCTAACAACCGTTTTGCCCATGCATGACATCCAAATTCACCTGTCTGAGGCAGGCACCTTCCTTTCATATAATGGCAGGGCTGGACCTGTTCCTAAAGGGCAGACAGAGAATGGCGATCTACGTATCTCTGTTGGGTTCTTTGCTTTTCTAGTTTCTTGAAAAGGAAAGTTAATAGAATTGTAGTAGAATGTCCAAAGGATGCAGACTATTTAAAATTTAAGCACAAATAATCCTGGAAAAGAAGCCATGGTTTGCTGTTAGGTAGTTTCTTTATTCATTAAACTTCCATACTGCCTAATAGCAGAAGCTCTCTGGGCAGTTTACAATGATCCATTAAAATACAATCTGAAATAACCACATTTTAAAACATTGATAAAAAAGTTGCTGTGCAAAATTTAAAACACATACAAGGTTGTGAACTCTGGGTTCACAAAGTTATGTGCTTGCAGTGACATGTCATGGCTGTTTCTACCAATATGCTTGCCTGTGTTAGCAGCTACAACTAGAGGGCCTCTCGTTTGCCGAAAACAAACGCAGACCGCACAGGCAATATCACCTTGCTCCGTTATTTGCTGAGACTTCTTCCTTGTCTTACAATTCCATGTCTCAGCCTCCAAATAATGTCACTTCATTCTTCATGCCACTTTTGTTCAGAGGCCTTTGGCTGTGGGGTGCTGTAGAAGCAACAACAATAACGAAAGAAAGAAACTGGACAGCCATCTGAGTGGGATGGTGTGACTTGGTGTCCTGCCACAGCAGGGCATTGAACCTGATGGCCCTTTCCAGCTCTACTATGATTCTATGAATATCATCTCTACAGTGACTAAATAACTGATACACAAACTGGTTGCCAGTCTTTTTTCTTAAAAATTCTTAGTCCCTCCCCCCCCCGCCCCCGGTGTTTCTGACTGTGCAGATAACATTTGAAACTTTTAGCACTAGACCTGTCTGAAAGTTGAAAAACAGGACCGGCTTTTTCTTTTTCACAAAGCACCACCTGCAATTGAGTTGCAAGAAACAGCAGGTGAAGTCTTTGACCTTCTGCAGGATGTCATCATCAGAGGCCCATGATCAGCATGGGGTCATTGTAACCTGTCCATTTCCTTTAACATGGCCCTGATTTGCTTTAGGTAGCTTGTATTTTTCTGACTTCTGCATATTCTAGAAATTGTGAGGAAAAAAAGAAGAGAAACCCTGCAAGGTTAGCCAGTTATCCATGATGGCTTCACCACTACAAAAGAATTGTAACAGCATCAGTCTTGGTATTCTGATGTGTCATTCTACATACTGAGGTGACTGGCATACTACAGGTTCATATTCTGTTTTGGGATGTACACATAAGTAGACCTACAATCTTGTTCTTTTAGGACATTGTCAAAATCAGGGTCATCAATATGTCACAGAATTTGAGTCTCCTGCCCTTTACTGTTTTCTTTCTGTAAACCAAAAGGTGCCTATGAAATGATGTGGCAAACATAGCATAAGAATAAATCTGTGGGTACTTTTATACTCTGATCAAAAGCACACAAGGAGTTTAACTAGAGGCCATCTCTTTTGAAGAGCTAAAGCCTCTAGCATATAGAGGGGAAAGAGTTTTTATGCTGATCTATGAACCAATTTATAGTTATATAAGAGTCAATAGGCCGAGCATTATTATGCAGATTTTATTGTTATGCATTCTTTTATTTATTTTCATTTTTATATCCTGCCCCATCACCATAGACTCTGGACTCTTTACAAGGAATTAAAACCAACAATGTTTAAAATTTAACTAGAAGCAACATATTAAATAAAACTGATATGAGAACTAATCTGGGAAGGCCTGTGGGAAGAGATATATCTTTATATCTTTAACTTCCTCTTGAAGGTAGCAATCTGAAATATCAAACACAGAATTCTGCTTTCAGATCAATGTAAGTTCCCTGTGTGTTGTTTCCCTGTAACATCTTGGTAGCCATAGCAAATTCAACAGTGCTGGGTAAACAGCAGGATCCACAGGGGGCTGCAAATGAGCTGCATTTGACTTACTATGCTTAGGTGGTACCACACCTGAGAGAGAGACCCTTCTATTAAGTTTCTTACAAATTAAGCATTTGTAACATAGTTTTTCATGTGAAACTGGTATATGTTGTAATTTTAGCTGTTTGAAAGTGATGTAATAATTACTTATGGATTGGCCTGTATATGTTCTGCAGCTGGAGGATAATAGATATCTCTCCATCACTTTGCATTTTTCCATCATATTTATGTATTTATTAAATTACCATCATGCTCTCGGGCAGCCATTACAGTAAATCACCAATAGGTAATATAAATAAAATAATACAATTAAAATACAAAAGATAAAATAACATGTAAATAATCAACAAAATAAAACTTAAATTGGTAAATTAAAACTGGTGCAAACGGATGCAAAAATAATCTAAGTGGTGCTGTAGGTGCACCAGAAAAGAAAAGTTTTAGTCAGGCACCTAAAATGCAGTAGAGTAGGCACCTGACAGATCTCTGATAGTAATGCATTCCACGCTTGGGGTGCCACCACAGAAAAAGCCCTCCTCCTCACAACCTTCCCCTCACCTCCTTAGCAGGAGGAACCCATAGGAGGGCCTGTATAGATGAGCTTAAATGACAGGCAGGAATAGACTATATGAAGTAAGGAGCTCCCTAAAACAATGTGACCCCAAGCCATTTAGGGCTTTATATGTCATACTCCAAACCTTGAATTCAGCCTGGACTGGAACAGGCAATGAGTGCAACTGATGAAGAAGAGGTGTAATATGTTCTTGAGGACTGGTGCTTTATCACCAACAGCAACTGTTAATGTTCTCAACGTGTGGGTTCCACAGTAGGATCCATTTGAGAAGGACAGACAGACAGACGATACTAGAAAAGAATATTGTGCTACCGTGAGGAGTCATCCTCTGAATATTTGGACAGAAGCTAGGCTGGCTTCTGGGAATACCAACAACTGTGTCCAAAATTCTTAACAAATATAACAAGAGCTTTTGTACCCACTTGACATGTGGGGTATTGAAGGAGGGTGTGATTAGATGACATTTTGTAGATAACATCTGGGACTGTTTGGGAGACACTGAAAGCTGTTTATCAGAAAATTGCACTATCACGGAATTTTCAGTTTTGTTAAAACCAGAAGAATCTACCATCCAGCCCAAACATGTATCCAACACTGAAAGGATTGGCTCTATATGAAGCAATGAAATACCCAGTTAACAGCTACCTTACATGGGTAGTATCAAGTTTCTCTGTTCATTGTCTTAGTGGAAAAGCTTTAAATCAAAACTCGTGCTCATTGAGTGCTACTGAAAATCCCATCCTAAATAAAACGGCAAGTAGAACAGCTAGCATAGTAAAGTTAGTTTATTACTGTGGGCAGAGCATGCTAGACATTAAAGTAACTAAATACCTTTCTTCTTTTCTTCCTACAGAGTCCTGTATATTGGCCTTGCCTGCAATACAGCTCGTTATATTTACATCTCCTATCTGGAAAATGCTTGGACAGTTTTGCCCATGGAAGTACTTCAAGGTAGGAAGACAAAGTGCTTCTGCTTTGGTAGCCATTATTACTATTGCCTGCTCTAATCAAGCCATTGTGTCTCCTGGTTTAAAACAAAACAAGGGATCCCTTTCTTTTCATGCAATTATATTATGGCTGTTGGAGAAAAACTTGTATGACTAGAGGCAGTTTCTGCATTTGACCTGAGATTCTAAGCAAACAACAGATGGATGAAATAACGCCCCATAACCAAATAAAGGGACGGAGAGGTTTGTGCCTACCGCAAATACAGCTTGGCTGTTAGCAAACAGCAGGATACTTCTGTCTGTAAAGCTTTAATCTCTTAAACCTGTTGATTCCTTACTTTCCCAAATGCCTGTTAACACTGGGTCTAAAAACATAAACAGGTAGCTAAACTTTCAGGAATAACTGGTTTTCTTCACTGTTCCTTAATTGTCAGTGTTTTAAAACGAAGGTCAAGTACCAAATACGCTACAGGAAAAAATGACTCTGAAATCCAGGCATGCCTTATCGGTAAGCCATGTTGAGGTGTGCCTGCAGCCTCCTGATTAATGCTGATTAATTAAGGATGAAAAAGTATCAACAGAAGCCTTGAGAATTGAGAAGGAGGAATTACTGTGAATAGGAAATGTTCACTTGCAAATAGAAAATGGAGTGATGGACTGAACTGAATGAGGAGAGGATATCTGTGTTTTTAAGATCTTGGGGCATTTTTCACACACGTAGCATAAATTGCTTTTCATCTACTCTCTCCCCCAATTTCTGTTAACGTGGTTTATGTGGAAGAGAAAAGGTAATGCCATTTAGCATTGATTATGGCTAATGCAGGTTTTTAAACATCTTACTGAAGGAAATGCTGTAGTCTTTGTTTACTGAAAATGGTGAACTCAAGCCTATGAGTCCACACCAAACCCGGTTTTAGCGATCAGAGATAGAAAGCCTATTTCGACTGCCCTGCTGTATTGCTCTTGTACTTCTTGCTGCGGCATCTCCCCTTTGTTTTGCTCCCTTTTGTTTCTCGCTTCTCCATATCCTTGAGGAGAGCTATGAACCAGAGGGCAGCCGTTTTCAGAGGAGTAGCTTTGCCAGTCACGTGAACGCTAGCAGATGCATTGTTAAGTTGTTAATGTGGAGGTTAATGTGGAGTGTAGCCTGTGAATGGTTTCAGTGGGCTCTGAATCACCCTTGGTTCTGAGTTTCCAAAAGGCATTGCACTTTCCAACTTTACTTTGTCACTGTGAAACCGTGAAGTATGCTGCTATATTAGCAAATGAGAGCTAAGAGTCTTAGCCTGATTTTGCACAAGAGGCTCAAACCTTGCTCATGGGCACAGTCGCACTGAATATACATAGCTGTACATACTGTGCCATTGCAAATTGAATGATGCCTTTTAAGTGGGCCAGGAGTAATTCTACCTGTGGAAGGCAAAGGGTGAGTGTGGAGCCTAAGCTTACTTGGAAGGGTATGTGTATTCTGAACTGCTGTGCATGAGATACACTTACAATATTGATAATGTTGGGTGGAATGCTACTAAGGGAAAGGTCATCAAGGAGTGGAAAGAAGTGCATACAATTTAGGACATGGGTAAACAGAAGGTAGATTTCCAGACATTTGGGACATCAGCTCCCAGAAGCCCATGACAGCATGGCCACTGGTCAGGAATTCTGAATAGTGAAGTCCAAAATGTCTGGAGTTTTCCTGGTTTAGGAGATTGAAGTAGTCAAGAAGAAAAGGAGAATGCTGGATCAAACTAGAGCAAGTGTTTGGCTATGGATTCATAGCCACTTGGCTGTGACACTTGCTGGATGACTTCGCACCCATCACTGGCTCTCATTCTAACCTACCTCACAGGTTGGTTGTGAGACTAAAATGGAGAGGAAGGGGTCCTGTAAGTCTCTTTGATTCTTTGCATGAGGAAAAAAGGCTTGATAGAAATGTAGTCTACACTGTCGTCAAGTGTGGTGTTAAATTTGCATTTTGCAACTACTCCCCTACTTTTTACTTACAAGTGTGTGGTGCCCTGATCTGGAACAGAGCCAGTGTGCATGAGGAAGTGACGTTTAAACCTCTCCCAGCTGTCACCTTCTTGATATTTGCCCTCAAGTTTAAAAGGGAAAAATGGGACTGAGAAAGGTGGAACCAGAGGAGTGGGCGAGGAACTCTGCCAATTTCTTTGGCCATCTTTGTCACATAAAGTTCAGGTGTCCTAAATTGCATAGAGTGCCTTTTCCTAGCTCTCTTGACTCGTCTACACTCCTGTCTGGGCAGGAATAGCTTAGTTCCTCATCTAGGCTAGACTACTGTAAAGCCCTTTGTGCAGCGCTGTCCGTGAAGACAGTTTGGAAACTGCAGCTTGTATAAAATGTGGCAGCCAGATCTAGTAACCAGGACCAGACACTTATAACTCCAATTCTGGCCCACTTTCATGGGCTGCCTAACTGCTTCCAAGGATGATTCAAGGTGCTAGTTTTAACCTATAAAGCCCTAAATGATTTGGGGGCACAATAGTTGATGAAGCACCTATCCCAGTACAATACAATATTCAGATACTACTGTCAGTTGGTGAGGCCTTCCTCCAAATACCACCTCCAAGGGAGGCTTGGTTGGTGGCAACAAGGGGGCCTTCTCACTGGTAGCCCCCAAATTATGGAGTGATCTCCCTACTGAAGCTTGCCTGTCACCAACTTTAAGCTCAGTGCCAGGCAAACACTGCCCTCTAATGCTTAAACTTTTAACAGCTCTAAATAGCATGGGGAGCGGGTTGGATATTTTCAGCTGTTTTTAGCAGGCCAAGCTTCATATATGACCCTGCTTAACTGTTGAACTTGTTAAACTTCAGATTTACATTTAAGTGAAATGTTACAGTGATGTTATTGTTATTTATATTGTATTTAATCAGTTGTACATTTGAAGACAGTTCAGAAACTGCAGCTTGATTATTTGGCTTTGGCAAAAATAAATTTAATAATACTTATAATTCATTTATGTATGTATTTTCCTGGATAGTTATTTGATTAGACAGCCAGTGCAGATGAGTTTTTAGCACAGTTGTGTTATGTGTAATATAAATACACAAAACAGTTCAGTTACCTGACATATCTGTAGATTCAGCTTAGAAGGTTATGCAAGCCTTTGTAGGAAAATGCTGTGACAAATTGCAGGCCTTGTACAGTCTGAGATCAATGAATGCTTCAGGGGCATTTTTGAGGTTAGAAACAGAAGAGTTTCAGATGAAACTTCTTGTTCCCCTTATTTAGTATGCTGTGTAAACAGAGACTTCTGGAAGGGAGATGTCCAGAGCTGGAGAAGGGGTGGGGGTTAGTGATTTGGGCTTTTTATCTTTATGGGGGTGGGTGGAAGGGAGGACTGTGTAAGACTGACTATTTAAAAAAAAATCAAAGAGGTCAGTGGCATCTCAAAGGAGTAAGTGAATAGTCCCATAAACTGGAAACAAGTTGTAAGAAAATAAACCAGAGCTTCAAATCAAGCAAAATTAATTTGCTCTTTGTACAATTGCACTTCTTAGAGAGGCAGCGTAGTGTAGGGAAGTAATATTCCATGTCCTGTAACCATAGTTAAGAGAATGTGCAGATACTCCCTGTCCTTCCTATTAACTGTTAGTCCTTAGCTTTGCATGAACTTTAACCAGACCTGACTTTTAAAAAAAACTGAAACCAGACTTTCATGTTAAAGCCTTCTAGGAGCAAACTTTGGTGAGCATTAACCATAATTACCATCAATGCACTCATAACAACAAGCAGTAGTTAAGATGAGGGAATTAATGGACAAAGACACTGCCTTTTCTCTTTAGATTAAAGAGCAGACAGGCTGAAACTTGCACAGAAGTATGTGCAAGTTAACATTCTAAGGGGGCCATCTTCGTTTGCTGAGACAGAAAATAGTCCTACAAGTTCCGCCAAGTCTCAGCCTAACATGTTGACTGAAGTATGTTGGGAGTTACAAGACTGTGCATAGATGTGCCCTTAATCATATAGAGTCGGCAATGATGGCACATCAGAAACAAATATGTAAGTCTTGCTTTATTCAGCAGCTTTACTCATTGAAAACCATTCATTAACTCATGATGTGCTTCACCCCTCAGTTGTGTCTTTCCTTGACTGATGCTAAACTGTGAGGGCAGAACTAAGTTTTTCAGCAAACGGAAGACTGCTGCTGAAAAGGGCAGCCCCTGTCACATGTTCCCCATCCCATAGTATCCAGTGTAACAGCCCTGTGCACCTTGTAGTGCGTTGTTTCTCCCTCGATTCATGGTGTTACTGTCTTTGTCTTGCATGTGTGCACTTAGCAGTTAGCACTCGGAGCCTTCAATTGGGAATATTAGTCTGGTAATAAGTAATACTTATAACTTGAATGTATTATGTACAATTTTCTAGGTTCATGACTTGCTTTAAAAGTGTAAGTTCTGACAGAAGCCAAAATAAACATCTGGTCCCAAGTTTGCTTTGCAAGGTCTAAGTGCTCCCGGTGTTCTTTGTGTCCCTGTGGTGTGCTGTTCCTCTCCTTTTAAAACCAGTGCAGATTTTCCTCACTTGTGCCCATGGAATGAGATCAGTCGCTGTCTAAGAGCCAGCAGTTTCCTTTCAACATTTCCTCCTTTTATTCCTAGGTGCAGTCTGTTCAGTCAGAAGCGATTAGATAAGGCAGCATAATTCAGTGCACATGAAATCCGAATGAAGCCGTCTGTACAATTTGCAGGTGCCCTTGAGCAGGGACCACTTGAAGTGCTGTACTTAGGCCCTTGCTGAGTGATGGCCGCAGCTCGGTGGCGGAGTATGTTCTTTGTGTGCGGAAGCTCCTGTGTTCAGGTCTCCCTGCCCCTTGGAACCTGCGTGAAATTACACCACTGTAATGCTAAGGGCAGGAGTGGGCAGTGTGGACTGCAGTCGTATATGGGGGAAGGGGAGAGGACCTCCTTAGCGACTGTGGTTTAATGGTGGATGAATCAGCCAAAGCTTTATCAGCAGGTTTGTGCAGCGTGCATATTTGTGTAATTTAACTGCTGATTTACCCTCACCTAATGTTGCTGTATAAGCACCCTCACCTAATGTTGCTACATGGCTAACTTGTGTTAAAATGTTTTAATAAATAAATAAAAATAAAAAAATGCTAGGAGATATTTTGCATTTCTGTGTGAAATCACTGTGTTTTTCTTTTTAGCACTATAAATCATATACAACTGAAGCTAACACTGCTCAGCTGAAATTAATAGCTATCCACCAGTGAAAAGGATCTTCTGCAATATTTGGCTTATTTGTTCTGACCCCAAACAACCCATGGTTCATGGAGAATCATGCTAGTTACTTGCTAGCTGCTTATGGTTTATGTAAACAGCTGGTTGGAGGTTTGGGACATGATATGCAGACCAAGATGGAGGGGCTAGCCCAATTTGAACATTTCTGGAGAAATTTTGGATTTTCTGTTTCTAAATTAGAAAACGCTGTATTTTCCCAAAGCAATTTTTAGAAAGGATGGTGATGATGATGATGATAAAATGGTTATTCCTTGTAGCAAGAAAATGGTGGCTGTGTTAGCTGTAAGGTGTGCTATGCTTAACAGAAACAATGTTCTGATTATCACACCTTAGTTAAAGCATCTGAACTGAGCCTTTGGAGGGATTCCAATACAATTTAGATTAAATTACACAAATATAAGCCAGCTGATTAGCAAGATGAATATCTTCATTTAAAGGGTTTTTTTTTAATAGTGGAATAAATTAAGCACATGAGCTTATAAAATGTTTATCCATGTACCGGATTCCTCATGTGGATAAAACAGTAAACGTACATAGACACACATCTCCTCTGTCAGCCATGACATTCCTGAAAGGACATCTTCAAGACTCTGGATCTCATAATGTGTTCCTTCTCTGTAGGTGTGACTCACGCAGCCATATGGGCAGCTTGCATTTCCTATCTAAGTGCTGCCGTCCCTCCAGAGTTAAGAACTTCAGCTCAAGGAATCCTGCAGGGCCTGCACCTCGGCCTGGGAAGAGGATGTGGAGCAATGATTGGTGGAGTGCTGGTCAATTACTTTGGTAAGAGAAATTTAGCAGGTTTTATTCATTTATTTATTCAGAAAATTTCTATGCCGCCCCATTCGCCAAAGCCTCGGGGCAGCTCACAAAACATTAAAATATAATACATTAAAAATATAAAACGAATTACAATATAAAATAAGTCGCCCTGGCCAAAGAATAAAATAAGGAAATAATATTAGCAATTAAAATGACGTTTGAATAAAAAGGTCTTCGCTTGGCGCTGAAAAACAAACAACGACGGCGCCAGGCAGACCTCTCTGGGGAGCACATTCCATAGATGGGGTGCCACCGCAGAGAAAGCCCTCCTCCGAGGTTCCATGCCATTCCATCCTTTTAGGGTGTGCTTTAAATGCCTCCCCGCCTTTCTGCAGTTCAGTTTTGTCACCCACGTCTTACTGTCACTTTTGTTGTAGAACCTGTGCGCTTGTACATATCCTGGACAGAGCAAAGAAGGAGAGCCTGTATCTTTTTTAGCATCCCTTTGCCCATCATCTCTAGGAAAGCCACATTTGTAGTTAGATGTGGAATGGCTGTTGCAGCATGTACATTTGTAAAAGTTACATACTGTGTCAGCTTTGGGAAGTGTCAGCCTATATGATTAAGTATTTTATGTGAGCATAAATTCTGTGATTTGATTCTAAGAACAATGTGAATGGGCACAGTTTTATTATAAATCTAGTCCCACTGAAATTAATGATACAAGTGAATTGTCACTCATTTAAGTCCCATTCGCTTTAGTGAGAAGGAAAATGGCCACCCAAGAAGGAAGGACTCTCTGGAGAAGAGCCTAATGCTGGGAACAATAGATGGCAAAAGAAGAAGGGGACGGCAGAGGATGAGGTGGCTAGATGGAGTCACTGAGGCAGTTGGTGTGAGCTTAAGTGGACTCCGGGGAATGGTAGAGGACAGGGAGGCCTGGAGGAATGTTGTCCATGGGGTCGCAATGGGTCGGACACGACTTCATGACTAACAACAATGCTTTAGTGAGGCTAAAGTGTCAGTAACATTCTCTGGAACCATCCATCCTTTAGACACTTACTTCTACTACTTTTATCATGGTACATAGTCCAAAGCGTTTTTCACTGGCTCAGAACCCTCCAGTAAGTGAATCTAGCTTTACACCATTAAAAAAAATAGGCCTTAAAAAACCCCCCCTTTAACATCTTATACTGAGAGAGACCACAAGTCCATTGCTAATCCATTACCTATCCACTAGATAACGACAAGAAACTGGCTCTCCAAAGTCCAAGAACGCTGTAATCCCATAAAAATGAAGGAAGTACATTTCTTCTATGCATGTGTATGTTTAATGTTCCTTGCTAAAATTGTAGTGCATAAAGTTTTCAATTTTATTTTAAAACCATGCCTGGTCCTGGGACATCCTGTGGCTGTAGGAATTATTAGTGAGATGGTAGTTTATTACAGGGTGGGACAGACTTCAGACTTGCAGAAACTACTTTTTTTACTAGAACCCCAAGATCCACCAACTGGAGCCTCTTGCAAAAGTGACTGGGTTTGTACAGTACATTAAGCCACCAGGAAAGGGGCTACATTTGTCACTTGAATTCCTCATGCTTTGTGTGCATGTGTGTGGCGGGTGTTTATTAACTGGAGCAGTTAGTGGGTCATCTAATCCAATATGCTAAACCATGCTCAAGTCAAACAGCTATAGAACCACTTGGCGAGAGCAGCGAGACAGGCCTGCCACTCTGGCTAAGGGTCTGTAGCCAGTGCCAGCCAGCAAAGTGCCCAAGCCGTCATTGGTTTCTGCCTGCCCTCCTGCCAGTGCCGGGAGGGAGGTATCATTTGTGAGCAACTCAACTTCTTTGACATTGGTAGGGGTGCACAGAAGTGCTTTTGGTCTCATGCCACCTGTCCAAGCCCTGTTCAGGTTCGGGACTGGGGAAGGGGTGCTCCGCTTTGCTCTCTTAGGAGGCGTGAGGCTGAGCACCTGGATCCTTCTCAAAGCCACAGCCAAAGGGACTGCACCAGTGGCAGTAATGCAGAGGCACCTGATCTGTGACGCTTATGCTAAGACTAGCTGGGTGGGCTCCTTTAAATCACCTCTGCTGCCACAGCCAAAAAGCACACGGGGGGAAAGATTCATGGAGGGATGATAGAGTAAGCTTCAGTTGGCTGAAGCGGGCTCCCCTTCCATGCCAGCCCCACATGGCAGCCAGCCAGCAAGGAACAGGAGCCTGCTTGCTGAAGCTGGCGCCTGTCCCCGTTGGCTCTGACTGCCCTCCCTCTGCCAAGGGGGAGGGGGGCAGTTACGCAACCGGTGCTCACCTGAACAATGGCTGTGAACCACGAGGGGAAGGCACTTCCCCTCCTCAGTCTCCCTGGGAGGAGGCTGGAGGGAAGTGGCTCCCACCAGCTCTCATGGAGAATGTGATGGCGGGTGGTGGGAGAGGAAGCGCCTTCTCTGTGGCCTGCCCACCTGCCCTCGTGGCCACCACGGCATCACTCGGCTGGGCTTGGCTCAGCTCGAGCCCCTTGCAAGCCTAGCATTAGGCAGCCTGTGCCCCCACCCCACAACTCTGTCTTCCCTGCCCCATGCACCTGCTGGTGCCCCACTTCCCTTAGTGCTTCAATGGTGGGTTGTCATGCTGTGCAGACCTGGAGTGGGTTTTGCAGGTTGGCTGATTCTGGGGTCGTAAGCCAACCTGGCGAGTTCCAACCTGTCCTTGGGGTTGTCACAATAGAGATAGGTTGTTGATCGGTCAAGCTCAGCCGCTACTTGCCTTTCTTGCCAAGCAGCTAATGGGCAGCTGCCTTTGCCAAAAGTGCTCAAGTGGCCCTTAAGGGCGGCCGATAAAGGCCCCTTCCTCACACTGTTGTGAGCTTTTGTGGGCTCACCATCCCTTTCAGAGCTATTTTTAAATCATCCAGGGGAGATCATGAAAACCGCTGCCAAGAGGCGCCCCTCCCAGGACCTCCTGCAGTACCTTGGAGGGGCTGCCCATGGTTGCCCGCTTTTTTTGTTCATGCCAATTTAGTAGGATGGGTTAAAAATCAGCATAGTGTTGCGCACAGTATTATATTGTTATTTTAAAGCGGTGAAGATGAACAGCCCCTTCAGGATCCTGCAGTAGCTGCTTGGAAGGGCACCTTCTCCATGCTACGTGGGGATTGCAAAGTCAGTTTTAAGGGAAAGGTCAAGCCACAGTGCACTGAAAACAGCTTCTGGCAGTGCTGGGGAGGGGGAGCAGCTTCAGTGCTCCAGCAGTACCTGTGGGAGGACTCAAGGGGGAAAGGATGAAGAGGAAGTGAGCAAGGATCCACCATGTGCCCGGTGGTCTCTCAGGCACATTGTGGGCTCCTGGATGGTCAACCACACACTGCGTGCTTGTTGTGCAGTGTGGGTTATTGTATCATCTGAACCCACCTGTGTATTTAGACTGTCTGGGTAAATGAAATCTCCTTTCTGCTCACCCCAATAGCATGAATTTTCTTGGAGACAGAGGGAATGTTTGTAGATTCAAAGATCAAAAAGCTAATTTTATATTCTTGCTCTTGAGTCTACATAAGATGTCGGGTATTTTTGTCAGAAGGAAAAGGGAAATCTGTTCTAGCCATAAAATCCAAGGGGGACTGAACACTTGGCATTAAAGTGATTCATGCACGCATTGTTCTATGGGGAGTATTTTTCCCCTCTTAAACTTTTCATTATAATTCCATTTATATGCAAAAATAGACATAGTGTGCAAATTGCATTACACCTGTCCTTAAGGATGTATCAAGAAGTATTAAAAAGTCACGCCTGTATTAAGCCAATTACAATCCCACTCATAAACGTACCATGTTCCACAAGATTATGCTAGCTATTCGGTATTTATATTTGAAAACATTATTGAACAAGGAAACCAGATTTGTTTGGATGCTTACAACATTCCCATGCCTTTTGAACCAACTGGGTGGCACAGTGCAGGCTTGCAATGCTGCCTCTCCCTGTGGTTCCGGCAATTGTCATCATGCACTGCAGTTCTTCTCCTTGGGTGGAAACCACCCAGACTACATCAAAAGCCGGTGCATGTACCTGGATCAGCAGGCAGAGCTATTTCCACGCGGCTGTGTCTCATTTTTGGACCATTCAGGCTGCAACCTTGTGCACATGCTTTCCTGCGCACAGATGCCATTGATGGCAGTGCAGCTTCTTCTCCGAATAAACATGCCTGGGATTGCATTGTGCGCCACTCTTTGTGCAGTGGAACTGCAGCTCACCCTTCCTGCTTCTCTTGACAGGGGCTGCTTCAACATTCCGGGGGATAGGAATGGCGTGTCTCGTGATTCTCTTGCTCTTCGCTTTAATCCAGTGGTTGGCAGTTCCTGATGAGAAGGAGGGTAAAGTTATTTATTTATTACATTTCTGCACCACCCATCAGTCAAAAGGCTCCCTGGGCAGTTCACCAAATCAAAAGGTAATTAATATAAGACAGTCATGAAATCACAATAAAACAAGGATCCACCCACCTCAATCTATTTAATAATAAATAGATTATTCCCATGTATTCAGTCTCACCTGGCAACTCTTTTCTTCTTGCCTTATTGCCAGTGGTGCAGTGAAAGGGATGCAGAGCACCTGCTCTGTATGCAGGAGGTACCTGCATAATTTAATCCCTGATCTTTCCAGGTAGGGCTGTCCAAACTCCTGCCCAGAATCTTGGAAAGTCAGTGCCAACAGTTCTGGGCTAGACAGACCCATGGTCTGAGTATAAGGCAGCTACCTACATTCCTAGGTAATTTTAATCTCTGGACGTAATGATCGTACCAGGTGGGGACTTTAGATGGCCACTTCTGTTAACTTCAGTTCTGAAACATGGAACTGACATTTCTCTTCTTTCCCAGCCCCCAGTCACCATCCCATGCTTTCCAACAGCTTCTATGTTCCTGGTATGTTAGAGGAAAGAAATCTGTGGCCAGTCCTGATTTTTGAGAAGAAATCCCCCGAACATGTACAGTGCTGCAGTTCAAACTCACTTAAATTAAGTACCACCATGACTGGGAGTTGGCCTCTGCTGTCCTGATTGGAGTAAAGCACCCGTTTGTGGTGGAAAGGGATCCATTTTTTAAAGCAAAAACACCATCATTAGTATCGAGAACTATGTATGGGCCCAGCTGGCTGTATCTTGACCATTACCATGCTTTTAAGAGATGATGGAAAAGATGCTGCAGCAGCAGTATCAGCACTGAAAGGTCCATGCCAGCCTGGGTGTCACTGGCCCTGTGCTTTCCGTTCCGTGGCTACTCATTTGAAGAGGGAGAGACTGTGGGGCCCTGTGATCCACTCCTAGTTGCACTGCTCGTGAGAAGCTCTTAACTTGCCCATTTGTGTTAATTTGGCTTCAGTGATCATTCACCAGACTAGTAAGTTTAATGCTTTTAAAGACTCCGCTCATTCTTGTATATTATTTTGCTTAGAGCATAATTTGCTCCTTCAGCACACAGGGTATTCTTTAATAATCTTGAAATAAGGTATTGTTGATAGGAAACCTATTTCTTCTGTGTTGGAGATAAACTGATTGTGGAAAGAAGCATTGGCCACCTGGCCCTGAGGCAAGATTTTGATGCCAAGGAGCCGTTGTAACCAAAGACTTCCTTTAAAATAAGTGTTGATTGATAATTATTTTTTTCTTGTTTTATGCATATTTCAAAGAAACTTTAAAAAAGACAATTAGGTTCCTGATTAACTGAGCTGCAGAAAGCTCTTTCTCTGATTAATTATTCTGAGCCATTGAGATTCATAATCTTTTTATCTTCTGTCTTGTGGAGTATTATGAGTTTTTGTTCTGATTTGATTTGTTGCCATCTCTTGCTATCCTCTTCTTAGAGAATTGGATTGGGCATAATTTTGATTCCTGCATTTGTTTTGTATGTTGTTAGACACTTTGGACTTCCTTTTGGAAGGAAAAGCAGGGTATAAACATTTCGCAACAGGACAGCATATAAATATTTTAAATAAACAAACAAACATGACAAAGGGATGACATCAGTTGAGAGAAGACAGCAGAAATAGCTTTCTGTCTCTGTCTCGCTCTTGCTCCCTGAGGCCTACCATTGCTACAATGGGTTACCAGAATTGCAGCAGTGAGACAGGGATTCTCCCCAAGTGCTAGCACCATGCTGTACCAGGAGGCTGGGCTTGTTCTCAGCATCCAGTGCTGCTCTGGAACCGCTGCACCAGAGGATGCATAAAATAGATGGCTCCGTTCTGAATTCCCCAGCGGTAAATTTTCTGAAAATGACTATCGCTGTTGTTTCAAACTTCAGAAAAGACGATGCTGGCAGAAAGGATTCCCGTGCCTTCTAGTCCTGTGCCCATAGCCACAATCGACCTTGTCCAGCAACAGACAGAAGACATCATGCCTCGACCCGAGCCCAGGCTTCCTCCCAAGAAAACAAAGCACCAAGAGGAGCAAGAAGATGTGAACAAACCTGCCTGGGGAGTCAGTTCTTCTCCATGGGTTACTCTGGCCTACGCACTCTATCAAATAAAGGAGATGATTCACCTCTCCAAAAGTAATCAGACACTGGAGAACCAGCCTTTGCAGGTAACACAGTCTTTGGTGCCTAAAAGGTATTTCTAGGAGAGAAGTGGATAAGCACTTGTTACAGAAAGTTTTAGGGTTCCATTTCTACAATAAATCCAGAACATAATTTTAGTACCTGGCATCCCTTTTTCCATCTGAACACTCAGTGCAAGTGCTGTTATACCAGTAGCAACAACCAAAGGTAGAACAAGTTTAGTTGTATGTACATGTTACGCTGTTGGAGATGGGTTCAACCATTGGTGGTTTGCATTTGAATGTCACAGAAATAAGGCAAACCACATTTCCCAAAACCACGGGTGGCTCAAATCATTTCCAAGCCGGTCACCCTTATCTGACGCATGGACACAGGACATTCTTTCCCAACTCAGACTTTGATCTGATCTGGAGAGAACTTGAGGGGCTTGAATATGAGCTCATGACCCACAAAAGTATCTCTCTAGGCTACAGCCCACAACAGTTGTGAACGTATCCAATTGCAATTGCAATCAGAAGTGTGTAAATATATGGAATTTATTTCTTAGTGTGTTGCTTAAGGACTGGCAAGAGAGAGCTCGGCTTTACACAGTCCTAAAGTGCATAGTGTACCAAATGTGTTTACCACAAAAATGGTGGTCTTTACTTCTGAAGATTTTCTGAAAGTGATAGACAAATTCATGGAGGTTAAGAGATCAGTCACAGGGAGTTAGCCCTGACTGCTGTATTTAGCTTCCATACTTGGGGCTATTCTGTCTCTGGTGACGAGATGCTGGGGACAAGCCACAGGAGAGGACCATCTCCATCTTGCTGTTTTGGGGCTTCCCAGAAATAGCTGATAGCCAGTGTTAGGATGCTCGTGTGGATGGGTCCTTGGTCTGCTCTATCACAGCCATTTTCCCACGTTTCTTAGATGGCTCACATGTCGTCTTTCACATACATGTCTTCTTCCTTCACTGCATCTTTCCAATAATGCTGAACATGCTTACTAAGGATGGCTGCTTAATGAGGAATAGGTCAAAACTAGACTGATTTCCAATATCCACATCATGCATTAATTCTAGTGAATTTGCTTCAAGTTTGATGTGTTCAGTATGTACTGAATTGTGTTCTGATATAAAATTGTTCACGTATTTTAACAGAGGAAGTTATTTCGTTAAAAAGCCGTTTCCGTCAGCAGAATGGCACATGAATGTAAGATTCTCTTTCCCCCTCTGCAGCCCTGCCACACTTTCACAATCTGTGGTCATGGTTTGGGGACCCTTCAGGGCAGGATGGGAGAGCAGAGCGGTTGTGAGGAGCTCAGGGTTCTGCATCTCAAGTGGGAGTCCAGCCATGGAGTGCTGCATGTGGCCCATATGCTGAACACAAGCAATTAACTGCACATCTTGCTAATTAGTGTGGCTTAAGCTGTTTATATATGGATATATTTACCGACTCTGTTGAGAGACCCAGTTACCATGCTTTAAGGGGTTACAAGAATACAAAATGGGTTTGTCCATCTGCTGTTGACTTGGGAAGTCATTCACAAACTGCATTCTTTAGGCAGAGGGTGGGAAGAAACACACCCTACATTATGTGTGGATCACCACATAAAAATGTTGCTCTCTGAACATGTATCCAGGATTGGTCTTGGCATCCACTATATGTATACAGTGGCAGGCACGTACTTGCTGCACATGCTGGAAGCAGTCCTGAGATCTGCCCGGATGGTATACAACAGCTCCTTGTGTCAGGTTTTAATCCCACTTGGGTTCTTTGTTTCCTGAGCCGTTCCTGATACAGAGCCAGAAGAGAACCAAAGTAACAGTTAACAGAACTCAGGCTGCATTTAGTGAGAAAGTCCTAGCAGGTAAAAATTAAGGATGCCCTATACTATAGTCTAGGCTTAGGATATCTTGATGATATCCTCGTTGTCGACGGATCATGAGGCTTAATTGACCAGTGAGTTAAGTAGCATAAATGCACATGCAAGTACATCTGAACTCTTGTTCTTTGGCAACACATTCATCTTTCGCAGCAGATTCCATCTTAATCAAGGCATTGTTTCTTCTCAAAGAAGCTTCTCTTTGTAAGATACCACCTACCACTTGCAATTGTTGATGTGCTTGTATTTTAAAAATAGTTTGGGGTACGCTGTGTGTCGCTTGTTCCCCCCCCCCAATCTCTTTCCCATATTATCAGGGGCATCCTACTAATGAGCTCATCCAACTGGATTGTTGAGAGTTTTGTAGCCCTTCTTTGGACACAAAGAGTAGCCAGATTCCCATGTGATTTTATATGGTGGTTCAGCATCAACAACAAAAGGGATGGTTTATATTTTGGTAAGATGGTGGGAGGCTGTTAACACCTGGGGAATGTGTGTAATTGAGGTTGTGCTCTTGGTCAGCATATGTTTGGAAGTGTTCGTTCTGCTAACTGTAGTTCTTTAATGTGACTTTGACATTAAGCGACATTTGCATGACCCACTGTTTATCAGCTAGAATCCCCACCCCACCCCACCCCACCCCAAATTACCCATCTTTTTGGAATCATCTGGTTGATACTGCTGTTTGGTTGAATTGGTATGTGCTTAGAGGAATTGGTATGCTGTGAAACAAGCTAGGCAAACACTGGACAGTAGTCTTGAAAATAATGCTACTGATAATTATCTCACTATATTAATACTTTTGCATGAGTGCAACTGATCCATTCCTTTCAAACTCTTCCTGGGAATTAGAATGTCCTCCAATACTTTGCTTTAGCAGGCGATGCCACTGCAAAAGCTAGGAAGGGATATGGTCTTTTTGCAGCCATAGAGCCTAATTTAACAAGAAGATCTGCACAAACAAACCTGCTTTCTTTTGCAGCTTGTCATATTCATAGCATATGTATGTCCAAATTAGGCTGCAATGAAGTTGTCATAGTCTGTGGGGTTTGTTTAGTGTTTGGATTTTAGGAGCACAGTTAACTTTGTTTTTTAAATGTGTATTTGCATATTCTGGAGAAGATTGTTTTAAAAATATTCCCTTGGTGGTTCTAAGTGTGCCAGCTGCACCCTCTTTATGGTTATTAAGGAAGAAAGGCCGGCTGCTTAGTCAGTCTGCTAAAATATTCATAGCTCTTCTCCAGAAAAAGCTAACTGCTGACATCTCTGTGTGACTGATGCAAAGTATTATGTAGAAAGTATGTCAAGGAAAATAGGGGCAGCTCCATTAAAAAGGGGCATGATCTGTGTTAACAAACCATAGGAATATTCTGTTCCTTACACATGTAAATTTATTTTAAAAAATATTTAAAATACAATAAGCTTTTTTCCTACATGCTTCTTGGGGAAGAGCAGTTAGGAAAAGATAAGGAAGGTAAGTTTCGTCATCTTGTTGTCCAGCATATGATGGCTCACTTATGGCTTCTCTGCTTGTGTGCTGTGCTGTGTATATGATTTTTGTTGCTGTCATTAATGAGGAAGCTGCCTGGCTTACCTGCAATGACGGAATGGCTACATTTTGCTGGACAGTCAGTCGGTAAGCATACAATTTTTTGACGTGCAACATTTTTCTCTTTCCTAGAAAGCAGACAGTAGCCCTGGCTCTGCACTAGGCAGCCCTCTGGATCAAAGAAAGAGCGATGAGCCTCGGGAACCGTCGCTACCTACATCAACCCTTGAAACCCACCCAACCCCAGGTGACCCCATTCCTTCAGATAGTAGCGTTCAGCCTCCTGAGGCAGGGCGTGAATAGGACTTTGCTGCATCCACCTTGCTGCATTGGATTCTACTCTTGCGGTTATAGAACGCTGAAATGGAAGCTTGAAGCTGCAGCTCACTTCACCTGAGGCAACAGTAACCTGATGCAGCACGTGCTGTTAAAATATTTAGGGCCATGTCTGTGGTGAAACCCATCCAGCAGGCCTGTCACAAGAAGGACTTGAAGACTTCAGGAAGGCTGGGCAGAAAAGGCTGGGTTAACAGTAACTTGCAAAGCAGCTCAACATGAACGCTTTTTCAACCTGCGTGGAAAGGAAGGTTGGGGTCTGTGTGTGTGTAAACAAACACACCCACCTTGGTGGTCTTAATTGGTTTTGAAATTGTTTTCACAAAAAGGAAATGCTTCCTTCAGTTTCTGAAGAGAAATGTTGCATTTCCTCCTGCGTGATCTAGTTAAACATTTTAATTAATTATTGGGGGAAGGGAAGAGGAGGGGAGAGCTCATAACTATTTTTCTTCATCTGTATTAATTTATTAGGGGGCATATTGGCTCCCCAAGTTGGATAAACTACTGAAATATCTGAGAAAATATATTAGTGAAATAGTTAGAATGAAGGAAGAGCGTAGAATTCTGTCTTTTGTAAAGACCTTTTAGACACTTTGAATAGCTTTTGGCCAGTAGAGTTCCAGGTTAAACATCTGCTAGAAACTTTCTCACTGATGCAGTTGCTGTCAACTCCTCTGTGCCCAGGCTGCATGGAATCAATAAGGGCATTTTAGAAAGAATCAGACTATCACTAAATTCAGCTGCCTGTAGCCTTTCGTTTATGAAGGTGTAGGGGGACAGGTGGGGGTTAGCTTGGTGTTGTGCTTCAAGACCTGAACTGCAGTTGTTCAGTTCAAGAGCACCTATGGTTTTATGCGGGGCAGTTGCCCTAATGCAACAATTAGGGTTCACCCACTAAAATAATAGATGTATGGAGATCTTCCTTGTGGATCTTGTGATGGGTGCTACACCACCCATAAAGGGATGCATGCAGCCCAAACCAGTGAGTGCTGACCTTTTGTGGTGGGGGAGAAGGGACCCTTGGACTATTCAGTGGCAGATGTGTGGACCAGCTGCTGCTCAAGAACCTCTCTGGATCAGGGCCAGTATTTCATGAAAGCATAAAATTGTGTTTAAAAAAACAAGAGGGTGGAGCTGTTACTATCTTTCCATTTAAAGTGCCTGGGGGCTAGAAAGCAGATGGATATAAATCATAACTCTAGGTTAGGAAAGAAGAATCTTGTCAATGTAAAAGCAGCTGGAATGAGACAGCTGTCACATGTAATGAAACATGGATACACTGTGTCTGGGGTCATGCTTTACACTTAGGTTGTTTGTCAGAAGAGTGGCAATTTGGATTTTTTTATTTTTGGTCTTTTCATATTTTTCCAAAATTAGAACCCAACTCTCCTACACCTCTGTCTTTATAGCTGAGAGAGACCACCTTAAGCTCCATATGTAAAGTTCTCAGGGCCAGAGAGTGTCTAAAACTGTCTTCTCATTAGCTGTTTCTTATTAAAGGGCATGTGGCCTTTTTAATGGAAGCTGATGTGGAACCAAACTAGCAGACAAGTGGCTGGGTTTCGCTCCAGCACTTCTGTCCATCAGGAAAGCTGCTGGGTGGACTAGGCCCCATTTTGGTACATTGCCGCCCAGACTGGCTGCTGGGGAAAAAAGCAACTGACTCATCCCATGCAGTCAGGGCAGGAGGCAGCAGAGGGAGTCTGCCTCGTTTTGAATGCAGTGCATGTGACAGAACACCCGAGACAGGCTGTGAAGACGGAAAAGAGGGAAACTGCTGGAAAGAGGGCCCGTGTCCCTGAGGGTTATTCTCATTACATATGCCCTAAGGGACCATAACAGGATCAGTCTGTAGACACCTGGGACCAAACAGCAGAAAGTACTCACTAGCTATTTTTTTGCACTTCAACTTAAATGTACTGTACTGTAAATTTCTCATGACTTGTTTAAGTGTCCTTTTAAAAACAAATCAGAAATGTAGGTATTTATTATATGTTTATATCTAGAAGAGAGGGTAAGAAATAAAAGAACCAAGCAGGTAGCTGGCTCAAAATGGTTATTTAAAAAAATTCAAGGAAATATTCAAACCCTCTTCAGGTTAATAATCTGTAGTGTCCACATGGCAAAAGTTGTGATAATACCTTTTAATGTTCAGCACCTGACTTGTAAGGCATCAAGCATATATGTCATGTTTACACTCCTGTCTTGCCTGTTGAACTTGCTCCATTATTATACAGGGGCAATGGGACTGTAACACTGGCTTTCATAGTTGTGAAACTGTTAAAATGTAATGAGAGAAATAAAACTTCACTGCATATGTATGCAAAGAACTTTGCCATTGCTCATTTATGTACTGGTTTAAGACTGTTTGCTTTTAAAGCAAGTGAAAAACTGATAAAATGGCCTTCGCTTGCCATTGCAGACCACAGCACCTCATCAGTGCCAGCCCATCTTAGACACAGCTGCTGTTTGCAAGGCTGCTCTCCAAGGGCAGCTCCACGGCCATGTCCTCTCTTCCAAGCTTGGATGCCTGCCTCTCCAAGCAGGAGCAGCACAGGGCCTCTGTGCCTCCCAGGAGCTTGTCTTCCCACAACCAGAATCAGAGTGCTGAGCAGCAGGGACCTATGGGCTCAACTAGGTTTGGGCAGCCATTTTGGACTTGTGAGCACCTCATAAAATTATCCTGGATGCCACGACAACATGGCTGCCCTGGAAGGCATGGCTAATCACAAACACTGAATAGACTGTCCAAAAGATTGAGCACAAGGCAAAGGTGGGGGTTGAGCCCCAATATACATCACTCTTTAGACCCCATGGTTCAGAGTCCTTTTTTTGGTTTACCTTCTGAATCTGGGGGTGCTGCAGAGGAGAGCATCGGCCTGTGGCGACGCACTGCTGTTCCCCAGCAAAGTTGCTGAGCTCCAGGTGTGGCCCAGAAGCTTTCATGAGAAATGATGCCAGTGTGCTCTGGCCTAGTTTACACATGTCAGGCTCACTGTGGGTTATTTAACACACTGTGACACACTAGGCATACCTCTGAATATGGTGTCATCTGAACCAGGCCATCAGAGTTGAACAACCCTTTTGCTCATGTGTGCTCACTGACAGAATTATCCATCTATTGTTATTTACCATCTTTCTATTTACAGAATTATCCATCTATTGTTATTTACCCATCTTACCCTTTGCCATTATTCCCTGCCTCTTTGTCAGGCAACTTCAGGGAGACTTTTTGGCAGTCTCTGCCCTTGGCCTTACCTTACTATCTACTAGACAACACATAATACAGAGCCAGGGTGATATAGTGGTTAAAAGCATGGAACTGGGACTCGAGTAATCTGAGTTCTAGTCCCCACTTGGCCATGGAGCCAACTGGGTGACTTTGGGCCATCACAGACACTCAGCCCAGCCTGCCTCACAGGGTTGTTGTGGGGATAAGATTGAGGGGAGGAGGAAGAGAATGATACAAGCCTCTGAGTTCTTAAAAAGGCAGGATATAAATCAAATAAAAATACTAGAGAAATAAGGAAGGGGGCAGAGATATGCGTACCTATAAATTGTGTTTTAAACTGCTTGATTGTAAAGATGAATTTTTCTGTTGCTCAGAGGTAGCTGGATGGAATAACCTCTGTGAGAAGCTCAGGTTTCCCCCATCCCAATTCTAATTCTCTCCCTCTACTGCTGTTTGAGGCAGGGGCTGACTCAAGCAGCTGATCTGTGGGAACATGAAAGGGTAACAAATCATTTTGTAATGAGTATGAAATAACATTTCCAGAGAGAGGCACCAGTGGGATTTTCTGCTTTAGGTGGTTAAATTATTTGCCTAGTCTTGGGTACTCAGCACCTTGAGCTGGGACTGGAACTGACACTGTATTGGTGTCCATTTGGACCCAAGGTTGATCATGCCATGTTTGACATTTTAGCAGTGCAAACTGATACCTCTCCCGGCTTATACTTTGGCCCAACTCTGTGGACATCCCAGCTTAAGGTCCTGGGCAAAGTACCAGGGCTCCTTGCCTTCATGGATGTGCAGCCCTGGTTATGTCTCATAGGAAGCAAGCTCTGAACCCCTAAAACGTGGGGTCCCCAGTGTGGTGCTTGTGGGCATCTACACACACTTTTCTTGGTGCCAGCAAAGGTTCTCTCTATGCCCATTCCCTATTTTGATACTTATGGGCAGTCATACAGTGAAGCAGCTGGCTTACAACCATCCAGCAACCTTCTACCACAAGGCTGTTGGGATTCACATGAGCCCAAAGGCTTTGCCATGAGTGTGTGGGGAGTTGCAGCAGTAGCATGGCAGCCTTTCTGGGATGGTCGCTCCACAGCACAGTGAGTCTGTGACATCATGCATGGCGTTTTCTCAAAAGTAAGAAGTATGTGTCCACTAGCCCAAAGACGGTTTGCAAGGGAGGAGGGGCTGACTCAAAATGTAATTCTGTGCTTAATTAACACAGGAATAAGTCCCACTGAAATTAATGGGGCTACTCTGATTAAACCTGTATGGGGTTCCACCATTAATGTGGTTTAATTGTACTGAAGGCAACATCATTCAGCACCAATGAGAAGCAACCAGAACCATTAAAGCATTTCTGTTTCAGAGAGATTGCACTGTTTTCAGTGCCTCATTTCCCACTCCGGAACAGGGCAATGTTACAAAAGTGACACTGGGATTGTGCGATAGAATCTGAGCCAGTAAACTGTATGCTCTTAGAAAAATGGCATAAGGTTAAAAATTACTCTGAAGTGACACAGCCTGAACTGCTTTAGAACACAGAATGCAGCCTGTATGGCTACTCTCAAAAAATGTATGGCGTTTCCATGCAAAGCAAGATTTGTTTTAAAAAATAAAGTGTGTGTGTCAGGAGGTGCTGTTTTGCAACCTGTAAAATGTATACAAAAGTGCTTATGTTTACATAAGTAATATTCCTATTGCTAACCAAGAGGAAAGATACTATGGAGTTCACAGAAGGCCCACTCTGCTTCTGAGAAGTTGCTAGGCATTGCTTGTAAATAAAGTTGGAAATTTATCTTTTCAGACTTGAGGAGTAGAGACCTGAGAGAAAAATACCTGGGATGAAGATGCCGATTTTTGTGCTCAATAGCAAACCCTGCAGTGCTGTAGAAATCATTGCTTACATACTCATTCAGAAAGAGACAGGATATGATACAGGGCAGATTATCACCGAACCCTACAGAGCTTCTACATGAACCTCCTAACTCCACACAAAGTACCTTAAAACCAAGGCAATAACTTTAGTTTGTCCTATCCTTTAGGGCAACTGATTTAGTTAAAATGATGAACTGCAAATAGCTTTAACCTTAAAGTCCATGTAAAGTCTGGAGGCTTTACCTGCAGGTGTCCAATTTAGAATTAAAAACCTTCACTTTGTAGATAAGTTGGCTAGATCCATTTCCTTTTGGGAATGCATACAGTCCCTCAAGATCTCTGTTATCATTAAAAGAATCGACACTTCTAGTGCAATATGAAGTAGGAGTGTATGGATTTCGTTAGCTCTCTTAAATCTGTTTTATGGATTGCCTGCTTACTGATAAAAATGATTTTCTTCTCTGCTGTACAAAAACTTAGTCCCAGTTGTGCAAGTAGTCATGCATATTAGCACAAGCATGATTTTGCACAATTCCCTCAATAGTTAAAAACAAGATCCACATGCCTCAGAAAAAGCCAGGCCTGGGCAGAATGTGCAGGTTAGATCCAAATTCACTTGTTCCTCCAACATCCCTAGCACTTAAGTCTTCAGAAAGTCTTGGCTGCCCCCTTCAGTTCACAAAGCAGAATATTCCAACTGTGTTCCCTATCTCCGTACTTGCAACTGTGGGGAATTTTCCCCACCTTATCTTGGCAGTGTGGTTCAAAGAAACTCTGTACTGTGAAAGTGGAAACTGTTTTGTCTTTGCTGCCTTTGAACCTCTTCCTCGTCATTTCTCTCCTCCTCCTGAATGGAAACACTTTGTTCATCTGGTTCCACCTCAGTCTCTGCATTAAAAAGCTGCTCTTCTAGGTGGGTTCCTCCAATGCCATACTCTTGGGCATGGTTGGTCATTTCTTCAGGAGACACGTGAGGACATCCTAGCACAAAGTTTGCAAACCTGAGGGAAAAAAACCAGGGCAGTGAATTACCAGGCAGAAAACCATCTCAACATCAGTAGGAAAGGAGCACAGGAAACGCCATACAATTTTGTATTAATTGTATTGTATTAATTTCCACACAATTTTGTCAGCTTTTGGATGTTCAAAGGAAAGGAGCACAGGAAACACTAAGTCAGCCGTATTCTTGGTATGGAAACAATTCATTATCACTCTTGGACTATTTTAGTCTAGAATGCATGTCAAGATGACAAAGATGGCAGGCAAGTGCGAACAACCAGCGCTGCTAGATAATTCTTGCCCTCTTGTATTATGTTTGCTCTTTTCCATTAATTTCCATACAATTTCGTCAGCTTTTGGACATTCAAAACGATTGACAGACTGGTCAAGCATTACTATTGTCTGTGGCATGTGGGAGCTGGAGTAGAGAAATGCTCCGCTTTCCCAGGGCCACTAAATGAGTTCTTATTGGAGGTGAAAATTCAGTAGCACTCACGGCTCATTTCTGTAACAGGCATGCCATGCTGGCTCTTCATGCTGCCCTGAACAGAAGACCGTTTTGAAAACTATCACGGCACAGCAGCTGGCTTCTATTTCTGCCTCAACCGAAGGCATGTTTTTCAGCTCCTGTGTAGACTTACTCTACACAGGAGTTATCATTTTCTTTGAGAAAGGTATGCATGAACACATTCGGGTCACAACCGTATGCAAGTTTCAACAGAAAAGGGGCCAGCTACAGTGGAAATCGGAGCTCTTTTTCCATCTAAACTTGCATAAATTGTGCCTGAGTCAGGATGGGAACATGTGTCCCTTGGAACTGCCTCTGCTGAATTTGGTGGCAACAGGAGGTAACTGAAGTTTCCTTTAGGGAAAATGATGTTCTTAGAATGCTGAAGCACAACAAGGGTAAATTTGATTGTTGAGCAGCTGTTAGAAGGATCGATGTACAAACAAGCTAAAATTGACCTTTGTAGAACTCCGTAGCACTATGAACACTTTTTTTTTTGTTTCTGTTTCCCTTGCTGCTTTCAAAATCAGAACTGGGAGGATAACCCAGTGGGTTTTGGGTGGAAATAATTCAGGGGGGTTTGGCCCAGGGGCCAAAATAGCACTCTGACCTTTTACGTTAGGCCAGCCCAATTTAAATACATACAGTTTTGACATGTAAAACATGCAAAGAAGTGTTCCTACTTTTGTGGGGACCGCAGCCTGACCACTGCCATCCACGTGGGGAAATTGGGACTTCTACAAAATGTACGAAGTTCCTCCAAGGCTTTGATGGTCTCTGTTTCACCTTGTTCCTGATACTCATCTTCTGTCAGATAACGAAATTCTGCTTTTTTTGATCTGAATAAGCAAGTCCCTTTCCTTAAGAAGAAGAACATTAGCATTTTGAAAGTTGTACCATGACTCTGATATACAGAAATGTGTGAAACCAATAAATATATATATTAGCACTGGCAGTTAAAGCATTGCCTCTGGAATAGGGTGCATTGAGGGGGAAACCTCATGCTCTGAAAAGCTGGCTAACGTCACACAATTATGTAGTTTATGATAATTTACTTATATTGGCTTCGTTTGCATGATTTTGGCTGCAATCTCAATTATACCTAATACAATGGGACTTATTTCCAAGTAGACATGCATAGGATTGTTCTTTATTTGTTCTAGCCATGGAAAACTGGGAATCAATGTTTTTAAGATGACTGATACAGATTTATGTGCTACTACCAACTTCATGGTTATTCTCTCTCCCCCTCCAAGCTTGATATACGTATTAGCCATTTTGGTGAAATATTTTCAGAATGGCTACATCTTACTAAAGACGGCAGCATAAGATGGAAAAATGACCCCAAGGAGATGCAGCTCCAATTGGCTTTTAATATGAGCTGAAACTTGCTTATATTCACATTCAAATCAATCCTGACCAATGCTGCCTAAAGCCTCCAAACATAAAACCTGGGGTGGAGGTTGAACAAGCAAAGGAAAAGAAAATAGAGAGGATATGAGAGTGGGGAAAATAACTCCTTTCAAACAACAAAATTTCTAAATCTTCCGAAGTGCTATTGATACTTTGTCCTGCAAGAGGTATCATTTACAAATTAATAATATTAAAACATTTAACATTTCATTTTTTAAAAAGCATGCTCTAAAAAAACAGTGTCTGTCTTTGAACCACCCACATCATCCTTGGTTGACATGTGCCTTCTTAAAAAGGCAGAGTGGAAAACAAACAACCCTTCTTACAAGTTGTGAAACCAGCTGTACTTTGATTTAACAGGGACACTGTCAAAGAGAAGGCGTACTGAAAGACACACTTGGGACTTATTTTAGAATCCACATTTGTGTAACTGTGCAGATCAGCAAGGGAAACATCACTGCCAAAGGACTAGAGAATGTACCAGACGCAAGCCTGTATTAAAGAGCCAAGAACAAACTGGGAGCCCCACACATTACTGAACCCATGTTTTCTCCAGACCCAAGAGAGATGTTTTTAAAATTGTATGATCCACGGCAACAGTTCCATGCAGACAAACTTTATGTCCCATTGATAAACCCATCCATAACAAGTCAGTACGATTCACCCCATGTTCAGCAGGGAGTATATTCATTCCCTGGAAGGAGCTATTGTAGTGAACTATGGGTGGACAACTTGTGGCCTTCCACATGATGTTGGATTGCAAGTCACATCAGAGCTACCCAGCATAGCCACTGGTGAAAGATGGGAATTGCAGTCCAACATCTGGGGGGGCCACAAGTTGCCCATCCTGGAAGTAAATCACCATAAGCTCAAGGGTGGATTTAACATTTGCTGAAATGGCTCATTCCTCTTGTTCAAAAGTGTGAGAAGGTGTCAACTCTCTGAGCTACTGATTAGAAATTGGAAGCTCACACCAGAGGCAGCCATCCACCAAAGCGTATTTGGAGAACAAAATGGACTCGTGCTCGGGCGGGGAACACGGCGGCTCCTGGAGCGCTGGGTGAGGGGCGTGGGGAGGGCGGGATGCGGCTGCCGCGGCTTCGTGTCACCACAGCCTCGCTCTGTTTCTGTGTTTCTATGACTCTAACCTACCTCCAGATTTTGACAGCCAACCTGGAGAGACCCAGTGGCTACTATCATAGTGCATGGTGCCTTTCCCCACATGGGCCAACTTCTGACAGCAGCCCACAGATCTCACCAATCTGCTGAGCATACCCTTCGTTACTTGTGTGCATCCCCACAGAAAGGACTGCACAAAGAAATGTACTGTGCAGCCAGCTGACTGGACACACCAAGAGGCCCAGTGGTGCAGTAGTTCACACCTCACCTCTGTTAACACTTCCAGCTGGCCTTGCAATAGGCGTGACTCTGCGTCAGTGGTTGCTACCTGCAATATGGAAGGGATCGACCTATTTACAGCAGGTGAGGCATCATTACCATCACACTCAGCAGTTTCTTTGCATGCAGTAGCAGTCACAGTGCTTGCAGGAAGTCACTGGAGTGAACACAAACTGCATGCACGTTTCCATGCAATTCTTTATATTGGGCCTAGGAAAGGTTAGGCCTGCCTGAAACCAGGTCAACCTGCTGGTCTATCCAGCCCAGTACAGTTTACTCTGACTGGCAGTAGCTCTCCAGAGTTTCTGAAGTCTTCCCTATCACCTGCCATCCAATCCTTTTAACTAGGAAGCATCAGAGCTTGAAACGGAGGCCTTCAGCATGCAAAGGAACCACCAAGCTAGATCGTGGGAATGGCCATGCGGCTTCCTGATTGCACGTCTGGCCTCAGTTAATTGAAAAACATGCTAATCCCTGTCCCTTCTTAGGCAGGGGTAGACAGAAAGTAGATCAGAATCTACTGGTGATCTCTGGGAAATCTGCAGAAAGTCAGGAAGGATATTCTGTCTCTGCAACTGTATCATAATAGCAGCAGGCAGAATGCCTTTCCCTGCTAAATTAGGCTTCGGCTGCTTGGGAAAAATTGCTGGGTTGGGGTGGGGAACAAGGAGCGGACTGATGGGTTTGATTCTGGGGAACAACACACAATCCTGGGCTGGGCACATGCTCCAAGGCACACTGCTCCTTCACATTTATCATAAACCTCTCTCCTCCCAAGCCACTTTTTGCACCTGACGCTGGCCTGTGGATTTCTGGGTTGCAGGAAAAAAAACCTGATCCCTAAGCTTGGGGTCTGCCCCCCTCTCTTTTTAGGGCTGTACTAAAAATTGTGTGATAATGTGATTGAGCAGCTATTTCGCACCAAGCATCACAGTCACCTGCTCTTAGGAACAGCATGTGCAACTATTTCTTTCAGAAAAGTGGAGCTGTCATCAAAGCCTGCATCCCACGCCAAGTTTTCCCCCACAAGATGATCAGTTTGAATGGTGATGCTTCTCCACTCATCTGTGGCTGGCTATTGTTGGCTGGGACTGAACCACACTCAGCTCTGACTGGATGCCTTTGTCCAAACTAGACTACATGTAAAATGGGGATGCAGCAGTCAGGGCCTGCAAAGCTACACGACAGGATGAACAAATTTGGTGGATTAACTAATTTTGGAGCGTTGCGAGGAAGATAGTCACTATACAGTTCCTTAAGCATAAAAAATACCAACCTGACAGTATAACGGAATACTTTAAGAGGATAATGCAGGAATTTTGAACCAACCATGGCAGCGATTACTGCATATGCGACCTGTGGGATGGCCATACCAAAATAAATGAAGATTAACCCTAGAAGCTGTAGTGTCCACATCAGGAGGTTCCTGCTTGTCTCGCTGTTCAGTGGACCGTACATGTAGCAAAGAGCAAAACTAACAGATCCAAGGATCAGAATATATCCTAGAAAAAGAAAAGCAACAGAAAGCAATGTAAAGATGCATAGACAGAAGCGGTACTACATTTGTTTCTTTGAGCCTTGTGAACAGCTGTCCTCTTGTGATGTGTGGTAAGAATTAGCTACAAGAGGTCAGGCACAGACACTTTAACTAACTGGGAGTTCCTTTTTGGATTTTTCCTCCCTTCTGGGAATACATGGCTGTGTGAAGGCTAATACAGCACTTTTTGCAAACTTATCTGCAAAGCCAAATTCTTTTTAGCACAAGTTATAGAATGAGAGATTCCAAGGGCATGCTCACATTTTAATTATTCTGTGGCACCATTTATATTAGAGAGCAAACATATTTTAGAACATTATTTTAAAAACTAAATGGAACGTTTTGGAGCAAATGCTACCATGAGTACCAAAAGGGGGGGATTAATTAACCTCAGATTAATTAATTCTCTCAGAAAATTATGTTAGAAACTCTCCATTTTATGAATGAAAATAGCCTACATCAGAAAAAAGTAATATTCCCTTTTAGATTTATGCACACTTTCAACTGAATGGTCTGCTATATTTCAACTCATTATCTTACCCAGTACGTAGTGTGTAGAATTATACCAGAGCCATTTCAAATCGTCTTTCCAAGTGTAAAAAATATACAAAGTAGAAAACCAACATCCACTCATTAAAATCCAGAAGGTGCTTAGCTTGTGGGGTGGGGCAAGGGGAGGAAAAAAGAGAAGCAGTTGAGCAATGCAGGCATTTGTGAGTTTATTCATTCAGCAAATGGGAGCCCAGAAATATCTCCCAAGACACAATATCCAATTGGAAGAGCTTAGGATGGAAGGCTTAATGACTACTATTTCAAGTCAACAAGGATGCCTTCTCGCATTTCCTAAAGGCTGTACAAATAGGATGCCTTCCACAATTGCGTGAGCAAACATTTCAATACATGAGATGTGCCTACACCCTGCCATGAAAGAACATAAAAGAAGCCAGCTCTAGCCGACACCAGAACTGTGCATCTTTTCCCTCTTCCCTGAGGATAATCTGGTGCAAAAGTGTGAGAATGAGCTCTCCACCCGGGCTTACATATAGGTACAAGGAAGAGGACACTTGACTGGGCATGGAGCAGGGGTTCTCTACATGCACATTCAGACAGGCAGGAAACTCCTGTTCCACTGGTGCAGAAACCACCGGGAGTCGCTGCCTGGGACAGTCCCTCAGTGTATTTCTTTGAAACACACGGGGGGGGGGCATGGGTGCCTTCATATGGTGCCCCCACTGGTGGAAAAGGTACAATCCATTCTTCAATCAATTGGTGTTGCTGATACCCACAAGGAATTGCAGGATGTTTTGCCAATGTGTATGTACATGAAAGGTTATTATTGTGGGTCATGCTCAAATATAGGAGCAGATGGGCACTAAAATACCATAGCTAGCTGCATGATAAATCTCTCCACAGAAGCCTTTTGTAATTAGTATCAGCAAGAAGTATTTCTTCTGGCCAGGTTTTATCCCTTTAATCCTTTCTAGAACTATTAACCTCAGGTGCTTAAGCACTTATTGTGAGTTTGGGTTTTCATCCCATTTTTTCAGAAAAGAGTGACCAAGCTATTCTTGCAGAATCATTTATCTTAAGATAAAACAGAGGTCTGTCTTGAGCCCCTAATTATACCAGTTCTGCTCCTGCCTCAGATTCATCCACTGAACACTTCAACAAATAATGATTAGAATGAAGGCATTTATTCTAGAGGAACATATCTCAGAATAGTAAAACGGATCATATAAACAAACAAGTTATCAATACTCAGATATGACCAGTTAAAAGGGATTTTGGCATTGCTGTTTTATTTTTGCAGTCCAGAGACTATCTAAAAGCTCGATTAACATTTGAAAACCCAGTTATTGTCAAACTCAGATGTCTAATATTACTTTACCAATGGCACCTACCTTGGGAATAAACCTTTTAAGCATCAAAAGCAGAAAAGCTAGAGTGACAAGAATACCAAATGCTGTTCCAGCAGAATAATAGAATACAATACTTCTGTTTGGGAAGAGCAGAGAAATTCTGTTAAATCTTTTGCATATGGAAAAATGATTTCAAGCACACAGATGTGCAAAATCTTCAACTTTTGCTTTACTTCTAATGGCCTGTTGTCATTGATACCTACATACAAACACACACAAATCAACTATCTGCTACCCCAATTGACACATTCATTATTATTTATTATTGACAATTATATATTGCCATAATGGCTAAAAAGCCAACAGTGCAATATACAACTATTTGCAAAACCTTTGCTGTAGAAAACCCTACTCAAGCCATCCCATAAGCCAGCATTCTTGAAAGGTTTTTTTTTTTCCTGGAGTTTTGTCGTGGTCTGTTTTCCTATTCTGAAGAACTAGTATCATTTCCTACAGTTGGCTGAGGAAGACCAGAATGCCTACAGCCTCATCTAAATGCAGATGTATATATTTTAATTAGGGCAATATCAAAGGAGGAGTCTATTTGCCTTCTGCATGGGAACAGAAGAACTGTCTTATCCGGATCCCTCTAGACTGGCATTGTCAACACTGACTGGCAGCAGCAGCTCACCAGGATTTCAGGCAGGACCTTTCCAAGGCCCACCTGAGGATGCTGGAGATTGAACCAGGAGCCTTCTGCATGCAAGGCAGGTGCTCTACCACTGAGCTACAGCCTCTCCTCATCTTTTCTTCACAGCTCTCCCCAGCTATAAAGATGCTCTTGGATATGAATGCCAAAGCGACACAGTGTGCACAGAGCTGCTGGGGTTATGGGCCATATCACTTGAAAATGTCACAAGCCAGGGATTTAAGAACTGGTACCTTGTCCTCCCTCCTTCTCCCTTTTTCCTCGTGTGACATATATTGTGTGACATATATTTCAGATGGTAGGTCTGAGGACGGAATTGTCATACAGCTTGTGTCCACTGGCTGAAGACTGGGAACCTTTCTGACCAATAATATGGGTAAAAATACTAAGGACCCAGTCCCATGCATGCTTAGACAGAACAGGGGCCTACAACTCCTAGCATGCTCCAGCCAGCCATGCTACTTCCAGAGGTCCTGTGGAAATAAGCATGACTTTCATACATAATGCAGAGCTGCAGTTCAGATTCCCCAAGACCCACAAATTAAAGCAATAACAAATACCCACAAAATAAAGCCAGCACTTACCGACTCAAGTTACGTGCAAAATGAAAGAGAAGGCCACCAGCAATGAACAGCAAAAAGAGTCTCAGATCCAACACTGAAAAAAAGCCAAACAAAAATACACTAGAAAAGTCCAAGTTGTTTTATTGTAGCAGCTCACTACTTAGAATACATCCTTTCAATGACACAAGCATTCTTTATAAATGATTAAAAAACAAACGAACACCCTCTTACTCTTTTGTTGCGTATTCACTGTGTAGAGTACTTTTTTGAGGGGTTGGACTTGGAAGCATGTTTTGCTTCCATACAGGTTCACTGTCATGATGATCTCCTTAGACGCACCCATTTGCCAAACATTGTTAATCAAGCACTTCAAAAAGGCAAACAAATGTTCTGAATCTTGACAATTAAGCTCCTCCGTGATAGACACCACCTCAAACACTTCGGTGCAATTTATTTTCACCTGAAAAGAAGAAATCTTTAACAGTAATCCTGGCTCATCTTCATTCACAATATGGGAGGTGATATCAGAGCAATTGACAGCTAAGCAAATGCATATGTATGCATTTTTATATGTATTTTTCAACAGTATATGTCTTCCCCAATTTTGTATCCACCTTTTTCTCAGGCAGCAGCCTCACAAAATTTATGTGACAACAAATACTAAGGGATAACTATGTTTTGACTCCCAGCCTGATTCAGGAAGTACGAATTTAAATTCATATCAAAATGCAAACTGGAAACATTCTCTCATGTCCCCTAGTCCTTGTTCATGGAACTTACTTCTGAGTAAACATACACCAGAATTCCACTGGAGGTTCCAATCCATCCTTTATAGGGAAGCATGTCATTGAATGGAAGCCCATCACAGCAAATCTCAATCTTGAGACACCTCCTATACAATACTCAGTGTGACATTTTCTAGCACTGACATGTGGTTGTGGCCCTCCCATGCATTTATTTTCTACAAACATAGAAACAAAGTGAGTCAGAAGGGGTCTCCTGGGCCATCTAGTCTGACCCCTGGCTCCAGCCGGCTCTGCTCACGACATTCCTACCATGTGCATGTCCAGTCTATCCTTAAACACTCTCACCGTTGGGCCTTCAACCACCTCCTGTGGAAGCCCATTCCATACCCTCGGGGTCCTAACTGTCAGGAAGTACTTCCTGGCATCCCCCCTAAATCTTGGTTCCCTAAGATTTGCTCCACTGGAACACATCCTGCCCTCCACTGCAGGGGAAAAAAGGTCATGACCCACCTATATGTGGCTCCCCCTCACATACCTGTAAGTCGCTAACAGGTCCCCTCTGAGTCCCCGCCTCTCAAGGCTGAAAAGACCCAGCTCCCTCAGTCTCTCCTCATATGGCTTATCCTGCAAACCAGTCACCATCCTAGTGGCCCTCTGCTGCACTGATACAAGTGCAATCCTATAAACACTGAAGACAGTAAAAAGACCTACAACTCCCAGTATTGCCTGGTGCACATGCCCAGGCTGGCTAGGGCAGGCTGAGACTTGAAGGCCATTTTTTTCCATCTAAGCATGCATAGGATTGTACTCTACCTTGATTATGTTAATTATAGCTGTGGGGGCGGGGGAGGTCACGATATTACCTTTGTATGAATGTACGGTGTGATTGTACCTGAATAGTTGACCAAATATTTTTTAAGTGTATTGCTCCATTTGGAACATAGCAGAAACAACTCGACTCTGAACTACGCATGACATCCGTTGCCTTCAAGTACTTGCAATCATTATCTAGACAGACAAAAAAAGAAAAGATGTATCCATCACAAGGTTTGGAGATGTATGCAAGTTGTTGAGTCATTTCCCCACTGCACTAGAGGTCTATTTTAGGCTGTCACCCTGATCTTTCCAATTTCAAATCAACCCAAGCCAAATTCCGGACAAAAGGTGTGCTCCCTGTGCCTTCATCTATGACAGCTTTTGACAGGTCTGCAATGCAATTCCCTAAGCAGAAGCTATTGGGAAAATTTGTGCTGGCTGCTGCTGTCTAGCTATTTATCCTCTATGGCTTTTTCCCTCAAACCATATTCATGTTAGTTTACTAAGTTAAACTGTGGGCAAGGGACAACAATGAGCTGTACTGGCATCATTCTCTGGCTGGCAGCCCCCCAAAAATATAAGCAAGCTCATACCTGCCTTTTCCTCTACTTGCCTGTCAAAATACTAGGTTCTGTAAACAAACAATTACACAACTGAATGTTTACCTTAATAAATGCTAATATTCACAATCTTGTTGGGGCCTGTAGCTTTAAATAATTAACACTGCTCACAAGAATACAATCGTTGGGGCTCGCTCACTTGGCACCTCTAGCACCCCACAATTCTTGGTCACAGCCTCCAGATGTTTTAGAGTACAACTTTCAGCATGCCTGATCATTGCTTATGCTGGCTGGGGTTGATGGGAGTTGGAAGTCCAAAACAAATGGAGGGCTTCTAGATTAGGGAAGGCTGTTTTAAATCAAGATCTTTTGTGGGGAGACCGAGATATGGTCAAGGATGTGCATCTTACATCTTACAGATTTAGGAAAGGGCACCGGGACAATTTGATTATATTGAGAGAATGATCTTGGAGGACCTGATGTGCAGACTGGGTCTGAAATGCAGATGAGGAAATCACTGCAACTGTGTACATATCAATATTCTATGAACATAACATAACAAGATTAACTTAATTCCCAGTACAGAGCACCTGCTTTGCATACAGATGGTCCCAAAACTTCCTGCCTGAAACCTTGGAGAGCCTCTGTCAGTTGGTATCAACAATACTGGGTAAATGACTCAATGGCTTGACTTAATACAATATTAATATATTCCTAATTCTGGTTTCTTATAGCCAGATCAAACCATTCCACAGATCTGGAGAAAAATGCAGGGAAGAAAGGGAGAATAATGCTTCAGACCAAAGCATGGGGTGATGTATTGATCTTGCTGAACCCATTCCTTCCTGGGAAGCAATCAGGTTTCTGCACTACTAGAATGCATTTCAGACAAGAAGCAATGAAGCGTAGTAGCTATTGTGCAAGGTCCTGGTTCTAGCCGCCACTCAGCCTTGCAGTTCACTGGGGGACTTTGGGCGAGTTACTGACTCTTCTAAGAACGTGAGGCAGGGGCCCATGGAGTGCAACATGCTGTTCACACAGTGGCCAACAGCTGTCTGTGGAAAACCCAGAAGAGAGTGCAAGAGCACCACCAGTGCAAGAGCTGTTGCCCAGCAGCCGGTGTACGCAGGGGCACTGCCTGTGATCCTGGCGGTAGCATATAGCCTATATAGCATGAATAGGTAGCATATACAGGACCAGACCACCTCCTCTTCCATGAATTTGCCTAATACTCTACTAAAGTCATCCACAGTGGCGGCCATCTCTCTTCCGGAAGTAAATACTGCGATTTATATCGGCGCTGTTCGAAGGCCTTCCTTTAATCTGCTTCTCACGGAGTTGTTCTGAAGATAACATGAGAGCAGGAGTATGCAGGCCGCCTCGAGTTCTTCACGTGGAGAAGCAAAGGCGGGTAAAAGTGTGAGTATAAATGAACCCTCGGGATGCATGCATCCTCGGAAAGAAGCCCTACCGTCTTCAACGGAACTTCGGCTGTCCACCCTGACAACTGGGTTGAGGATCGCACGCAGCCTGAAGCCGGTTACCTGCTAATAAAGTCAGCCCTGCCTCTCCTGTGACCGCCGGGACCCACGCGAGGACGAGCAGCTGCCCGAACAGCCGCGCCAGAGATGACCGGCGGGGCAAACACGGCTGGGAGGCGCTGCAGCCCAGGCGCGGCTGCATTTTGCACGGCGCGCCGCCCGCGCCTCTTTGAACAAAGCGGCGCCTTTGCAAAGGAAAGGGCGGCTAGCCGAGGCTCGATGCATGCGCCGCCATGCCCGCCTTTTCTTAGCCTGGGGGCGTCGTGAGGAGGGCTCGGTGGGAGGAGAGAGCTGCGGCGATGCGGGATCGGCTAGCTGGGACTGGAGGAGGAGGAAGAGGAGGAGGAGATCGGTGTACCCACCGGCTCCTCCCACCAAACGGGAGGGAAGGCAGTGCTGGGAGCTGTGCTGGGAGTGCGTCCATGGGGATTTTGGACTGCGAGTCTCGCTTCTGAATGAACGCCGTCGCTCGTTTGGGGCGATTGGGGCTGCCCCCGCGCGGAAATGGTGGAGCGGGGGGACAAGAAGCTTTGCACATAAGCAATGTGAGCACCACTTTCCCGTACCCCATAGCTCTCTCCCCTCCCTGGCCAGCTCCTAGGCTCATCTGCAGCTGCTAGGTCATTCTGTTACCTTCTTGATGGCAGCTTCTCCAGCCCGATGCTCCAGCTGATAGTTTGGACTGCAACCTCCAGGTTCCATGATCTGGAAGGCACCAGGTTTTGGAATTCCCGAGAATCTTGCTAATGTAATACCTCTCAAGCAGCAGGTAATGGAAAATGTGCAAACTTTCAAGATCTCGTTGATAGGCAAGATATTATAAAAAGCAGGATAGTGTAGGAGAGGGGAGAAGCATCCCAAGACAAATTAATGTGGAGAAGGAAGACAACTGTCTGTAAAAGATCTCAAAAGCTTGCAGTGTTTCTGATCTTTTAGTTGGCTCTAAACAAAAATATTTCATTAATGCAGATTTTGATTTTTTCCCTTACTGTCATTGTGGTTATCCTTGTTTTATGTTTTCAGGTTCAGGAATGTTGCTTTAGGGAAATGCCTGAGCTCTAGAAAGGACTAACAGACATTGACTACATTCAGACAACACAATAACTGACACTCCAGGGTTGAGTGTGAGATGTTATTGAGCCCCAGGCTGTTGTTAAAATGTGGGCTATTGTGCCTGAAGCCAGCTGAGATAACAAACCATGATGAACTATGCAGGGTTCACAACCCAGCAACAAACCCTGGGTTCTCTTCATGGGTTGTTCTGTTGAAGACCATGGGTTATTTGTGCAGCTGGGTTTACCCATCAACAATCCACTGTTCAGTGACACCTCACAGTTCAACAGGAATTGTGGAGTTTCCAAACCCAACTGTTGAGTGTTTTTACTGCCGCTGAGCAACATGAACATCAGCCTATAGAACTATAGAACGGAAAGTGGAAGAATCTGTTATCCTCTGCACCAGATCCTCCTAGCTTCACTTACCCCATACACAAGAACTAAGTATCTCCTTGTCCCACTAACATGACAACCCTGTGCAAACATACCTGGGAATAAACACGATTACTTATAGCAGGATGTGCTTCTGAGTGCACAAGCATGGGTTTGCTTTGTTAGTCATGCAAGAGAACACCCAAAAAGTTGGAAGGCAAACCTCCATCTACACTCCTTTCAGAGGCTTATAAGGAGGACTGTTTCTCCCCCTTAGCTGGTCTATTATTTCTATGCGATGCATGGAGGAGTTAATACACTGCTTTCTCTTATTTGCTCATTTTACCTTTGCATGCAGAGGCTCCAAGGAAGAGCACAGTAAGTATATGCTTGTAATCTGCTGCCAAATTTACATCTGGTTCCTTTGGGAAGGAGTAGAGATCCAGGGCTGGAAGCAGTGAAGTCCCATGCAAATAGATTATGGCTAGTTTTAAAGTGCCAAAAGGTCTGTTGAAAATGGCGGGAAACCCCAAGTAATTTAGCAATCAGTCTTCCCAAAGCAGCCATCTGGATACCTCAAGGGAAAGCACAAGGAAGGCATGATGGAGACAGCTGTCTCCTGGTTGCTTCCAGAGTCTAGAAATCAGAGACATTCTAGCCTCTGAACAATAGTATTGGAGATACTATTATGACTATTTTGTCATAATTCCTACCATGAACCCTCCATGAATTGGGGTTCTGCCTTCCATAAGAGGAAAGGCTCTGCTCACGGAAACGTCCTCTGCTCAGTTTTGGGGAGTCACCTCATTTAGCTCTTTGGGGAAGATTTTCGGGGGTTGGACAGACTGCTGCTGGAAGGAGCAGGTGGGGAAGTCCACCTCCTTCAGCACAGATAATCCTGCGTACATCTGGATCCAGTCCCTCTGTCTAGAATCCCTTTTTAAAGCCATTTATGCATGTGCCTAATCTATCATCTTCTGATAAGGATTTATAAATGTCTTACAAAGGACAAAGTCATTTGGATCCAGCTCCCTCCAACGCAAGCCTGAACCACCCGTGGTGACATTTCATGTTTGTGGATCGGCCCCCTTCCTTGACCCCAGCATCTCCTGTAAAGTGGAAAGTAGACAGCTTCGTGATGTGAGTCAGATCCTGACTCATTAGAACATTCCAGCTGTTTTTTCTCTTTCTTTTGGCAACTACAGAACTGATGGTGAATCTGCCCCCTCCAACCCGGTTCCTTTCAAGCTGCCTGTAACACTCACGACTGCTGCTATCTCTGTCTCCCGCTAGTCTCAGAACAACCTCGTGCAGGAAGAGCTGACGTTGCTCCCACTTTAGAGATGTCCAGTGCAACACAAATATGGCTCTTCCCATTTATTCACTGCAGCTTTATCCCACATTCTAGACAATCACTGCCTCCCAAAGTAGTTCACATCCATACAAAGGGAGAGGCCCAGGCTTACAAAGTGACATGTCAAGATGCAGCAGGGAAGGGGAGCTGAGAAAAATGGAAGAGGAGGCAGATTAGTTTTCCAAGGCCAGAACAAGCCAGTAACCAACTCTTTAAATGTACTGTGAGGCAGGCTGTCCCTTCCTTGCTGGTGTTTTTGCTGGAATGAGGCTCTTGCTTCTCTGGCCAATGGATGGAGCCAAAGTGTTCTTTTGGCAGGGAATGGAAAACAAGCAGCTGCTTTGTCCCTGGCTGACGGATGGGCCAGGCTGGTCTTCCTCATGCCATGATGGCATTCCTGGGAAGCAGGAATAGAATGCACGACCTCGCCAAACCAGTGGACTTCAAACTGTCTACTTAAGCAGTGGTGTAGGGTGAATTAGTCCTCAAGGCTTTCTTTTACTGTGGGAGATTTTCCATTTCATAAGTTCATTGGTAACTGTTCACACAACACAACAACCCCATGTGAGTAGCTTGCAGCTGTCTGATATGTAGTCTTTCCTGGTCAATTTCCTTGTGTGTTCTGCGCATCAAAGGGAGCTCAGGTGCAGAGCAGGGATTATACAAAGACACTGACAAGATAAGTTTGCATATTGGCTATTTTTGCAATACTGACAAGGATTGCGGGGGGCGGGGGTTAAAGGAACCCCCTTGCACCACAGAAAAGCACTGAACATTTGGAAGCAGTTGGAGAAGTAGATGCCTCAAATCTTGTAGGAAGATTATCTCTCCCTTAGCAACACTCCTCTGAATCTGCAGGTAGGCCAGAAGGCCAGAAAAGGGAAATATTAACTCTCTGCCCCATTTTTCACAGCATCTTTTGGAGAATTTACTGCTGTGGTTACTGGGGTTCCCTGGCAGTTCTTTGAGAACCCAGAGGAGACTGCATGGGCCTAACTGAATGATGCCCTATGCTCATGCCTCATCTGCTGTGTCTTGTTCTGCCACCGCTGTTCTTTTGGACTGGGAAATCTATGCAAAGTTTATGTCTGGGAAGTAAATGGAGGGGAAATTTGTGCACTGGCAGTAACTTCTCTGACACTGGTATAATCTGAGCACTGTGCTTTTTTGCTACCTGAGTGCTTTTATTGTCAGCAGAAAGGCCATATTATTTCACAGTGAAAGGTGAACTGTCTGCTGGCTTTGGATGCAAACAGGAAAAACAGGTGTGGCAAAAGATACCTTTCTTGATCTCCCTGATGCCATGTCCCTGTGCTACCAAGTTACCTCCATAAAGGAAATATGCAAATAAACTCTTGCCCATAAATGTTTGTATCATAATACCTTTGTAAGTATTTATAGGGCCACCCTTATTTTCATAGGAAAAGTTTATTTCCAAAACAAAGAGCCTTGTGGCCCATTGAAGACAACATGCTTATCGTGACATAAGCTTTCCTTTTCATGAGATACAGGAAGTGTTATCCTAAATTTGCAAGGTATGTATGTACAAGATTGCATTTGGGTTAAATGGAGGTCAGATTGGAAGCTGCAAATTCAACACACCCATCTATTGTCATGTGCCTATATTGCTGCCAACTGCACGTAACAAACATTCCATGTCTCTGATGAGCGGGTTGCAGTCCACTAAACAGGTTGTGGTTATTGTTATGCACAGGCAAGTCATCTCTGACTTATGACAGCTGTATGAATGGATGCCCTCTAAAACAGCCCTGCTCAGCTCTCATGAACTCAAGGCGGGGGTGTGATCCATCTGCAACTGATCCATCCATTATGCAACTGATCCATCTCATAGATGATTTTCCTTATCTTGTGCCTTCAACTTTCCTTGGCTTTATTGTCTTCTCCAGTGAATCTTGCCTTCTCATGATGTGCCCAAAGCACAAAAGCCTCAGTTTTGTCATTTTGCTTCCAGAACAAGTTTTGGAGCCCACTCGCTTCTCTTTCTGTTAGTCCCAGTATTCACAAAACTCTCCCCTAGCCCCGTGATTTGAATGCATCTATTTTCTTCCTGTCAGCTTCCTTCACTGTCCAGCTTTCACATCTGGAATAAAGTCGTGTGGATGATCTTGGCCTCCAGTGAAATGTCCTTACGCTTGATCATCTTCTCTAGTACCTTCATTACTGCCCTTCTAATGCTGATTTCTTGGTTGCAGTGTCCCACTGAATTAATGACTGAGCCAATGTATGCAAAACCTTTCACAATTTCATTCTTCATTTTGACATTAAAGTTGCATAGTTCTTCTGTAGTCATGTTTGTTTTTTTCTCAGTGTTCAGCTACTTTTGCACTTTCTTCTTTCACT